GCAGTGTTACACTATTTATTACACTAAGGTTTTCAAACTGTATTTTGGTCTTCAGACACCTCAACTTCATCCCAACATTGTTTTACTTAATCTTTTAATAAAATTAATTTTAACAAACCTGAGGAATTGCATGAAGACTATGTAGTCCCAAAGCAACACAATACACTAGGGCATGTTTCCACATTAAAACTGAAGCCTCTCACTCATATCATCTCCCATCCAGGCTGTATTTATTCTATTCAAATCTGTAGTGAATGTAAAGGGCTTACCTGTGCCAGTGCTTCACCGCCCTCACTGTAAAAACAAACAAGCACCATGCATGCAAGTAACATTTTAGGAACCACAACAGCTGGTTGAGCAGAAATGGGGAGCTCCCTCTCATTTCTAAACCTGGCAGCAGAGTTAGAGATACAGGACAGTAAAGTGGGCTACTGTTGGGTTTCTTGTAAGATCAATTTCATAAAAAACTTGCAAAGACAACTAGTTCCCAAGGTGGACAAGAGAAACTAAGTGCCTCAGAAAGAGTTAGCATTTAAGTACCAAATGTCATGGTAATTTCTCACAAAACACTAAATGAAATGAGTAGGTAAAAAGGTAACAGATGCTACTTGCTATATCATCCTGCAGGAAAAAAAAAAAAAAAAAGGGGTTCCAAGGTCTACAGCCAAACTTCAGCGGCTCCATGGATGAGCTTAACACTTCACAGATAAATTAACCAGGTATAAAGTGTGGCTTAGGATATCTCTGAAAATTTAAAAAATAAGTCAGTGTAGCATCAGCAATATGACATGAAAATTATAGCAATACATAGCACACTGTGTTTGTTGGCATATTTTACTTTTTCTCAGTTTTAAAAGCTCAGTTATAATTCAATTACATCAAATTACATGGTTCACTAAACTAACATTCAGTGGCTATTTTGGGGGACAAAATGCTAATAAAAAATAAGGATTGTGGATGTTGATTAAAGACTTCCTGTGTTGTGTCCATACATCAGCAAATCCACCAAAAAACTCTTGAAAACTGAAATTCACTCTTCCATAATCCGTAGCAAAAATGAGCTTCTGAGAATGTAAAATCAGAAAATTAAATGGCTTTTCTTACCCACATCTGTAATATTTTAATAGGAGGAATAGGCAACTGCTAGTTATTACTGCATGAGACAGCTTTAACATCTGCTTGAGCTTTTTATGTTCATTAGCTGTTAGTTTCCATTCTGTTAGGAATTTTTTTAAATTACGGGTTAGACTGACCATGTAATAGAATAACTTAATTTCATGCTGTGCTACAGTTCAGCCTCAAACTTCTTTCAGAAGACACTTCTTACTGAGTGTGAAGCCCCTTCAGTCCTTCTGTCCTCTAGTTCCTTTGTTGCTTCCTTTAATAGGGAAATTGTTGGGTAATAACCAGTTTTATGGGGTTTTGTCAACAAGGGACAAGAAAAAATGGTAAGGAGATTGACAGGGCCTTTTCGCAGTACCATGTCTAATTGCAAAACATCACACTTAGTAAATGTCATCCTTAGCACATCTAACAGAATCATGTATAACCTTATTTTAAAGCCATACTTACATGTGAGGTAAAGGGCTGATCTTTACAGTATGACTCCTTTAATTCTCTGACATACAGTTCCTCTCCCCCTTTTCTGGCCCATATTGACCCTGTTATCAAAATGAGTAGCAGACATATTTTGTACCTTGTTTACATAATATTCTAAAACCAACTGTAGTTGGTAAATAAGGTTTAATAGCTGTTTTCCACATCCTTTTCCAGTTACAACTGCTTTGCAGAAGTACAGTCTACAGAGTTCAAAGGTGTGTGAATTTAAAAATTAGTAATGTAGAATTTACACAGCCATTTCCCTAATAAGTGAATAAAAATGCATATTAACATGTAATTTATATAAGATGTGCATAAAATTGGACTCTGAAGTGCCAGGTTTCAAAGTGATGTAGAGGCTATATCCAGCCTTGGTGTGTATGGGGTAAAACTGATGAACTATCATGAAAGGAAGAAGACAAAACTACTTCTGCATATGTTCAGTTGAAGAATATGATCCCACTCACTCTCAAGGAAAATGTGTCTCCAGACAAAAGGGAAAAAGAGAAAGCAGAACAGTTGTTTCCCCTAACACTCTATCCTGATTACAGTCTTCCCATTAGCTAACATTCCTCGCTATCTTTGCAGCTGGAGAAAATGCTCTTTCCTTAGAAGTCATTAGAATGATCACCCTGGAATAAGGGCTATAAATTAGTCCCTTAATTTCTCAAGTAATACCTTGAATTAGTGTTTTAGAATTGTTTCTGCTGCTCCAAAAACATCACCTTTTTGATAACTCGGAGCTTGAAATATTATTAAGTCCATTTATGGAAACATCTAAGTATGTATCTTCCTTTCAGGAAGAGGCATGTATCACAACAGCCTAAGACAGCAATGCAATATATCCTCTGGACAGCTGCAGAGCAGTTGGATTATGCAAGCTATTACCATTTGTAATTTGTTTATTCATAAACCACCCCACACTAATCACATTGATGGAACAATACTCATTGCAAGTCTTATGAAATGAGTGTTTGAACTGTACTTCTTAGGTACTTAGAACTCAGATCTACTACTCCTCCTCCAATCCCCTTCTGTAAAGTTTTCCTGCAGAATTTGAAAGCTTACACAAAAGCTCACATGTGCTGGTGGTGCAAAACACTCTTGATATGGTGTGTTTCTTTGAATTTAAATATTAAGTTTACTTACTAACTGAGCCTTAGAATGGAAGAAACTTGAAATATATCCCCTTGTTGTCTCTCATGCACTGCAGATCCAGAAGACTACCTCAGCAGCTATTTTGGCATTCTAGAAACAAACCTAGCAAACAAGGCCTTCTGTGCTGAGGATATGAAATCCATTCGTATTTGTTTGAGGGTGTTTACTATGGGTGACCTCTATTCTAAGTCCTACAGACTAAATGTTCCTTGATGGTGCAAATATATCTTCTAGCTCAGTTTCAAAAACATCCAGGTTTGTGTACTCCAAGAGTGCTCTGCAAAAGAACCCAAAACTTAGCAAGTGGAAAAAACTCCAAATGCTGGGGTTTTTATTCAAACTTAAATACAGAAGCAGGTTCAGTCCCCAACTTCTCTATTTGAATAGACCAGAATTAAGTGTGTGTTGCATGAAATCAATATAGTGGGATACACGACTCATTAGATTGTTATTTCAGAATCCACATCATAGACTAAAGCAAAAATCTGAGAGACAGATTGATAGATCACATAACAGAAACCTTGTCATTTTGTAAACAGTAAAATTCCCCTACTTGCAAAAAATTTCAAAGCCAATTTAACAGCACAAAAAATTTTGTACTTCAGTACAGAAAATAAGAAATGTGTTTCTTAGAAATACCATATTTTATAAGTTTAATTTCTGATCTAAATAAGTCTCTGGCTCAAGAAGAGTGGAAAAATGATGGAAGATAGTTCTGTTTTCAGTCCATCTTCCCCCCACACATCCCCTCCCTTTCAGCTGCCTCTGATGTTCAGTGTGGTTTGTCTAAGATAAGAACACCAGGTGGGTATTGTAGAAGGGACTGAATGCTTGCACAATTAATGAATTCCAGAGAATGCAATCCAGAGGGAGAGTACATCAGCCTGCAAAAGGGTATGAAATGCTGCTGGAGTACAGGGCTGCAAGAAATTCCAATAAAGGAAATTCTAATTACAGTTGAAAAGGAAATTTTAATTACAATTTAAAAAAAAAAAACACTTGTTCCCAACTGAAAAATTGAACACTGTAACAACAGGGAGTCTGACATCTCCACCACGTTAAAATAAAAACCTGTACCAATCTAATCAAATTGGATCTGTTTTCAGCAGGAAACTGGGCCAACTTAACAGATCTTTCCAAACTAAATTTCTTTGCAACTTTAGTAATGTAACAATTTGAATTTAAAAACCAAAAACAAAACAAACCCAAAATAAAACAAAACAAACCCCAACAACAAAAAAAAACAAAAAAAAACCAAAAAAAAACCAAAAAAAAAACCAAAAAAAAACCACAGCAAATATTAAAATTGTCTCAGTGAGTCATGGACACACACTGCAAACTACAAAAGCTTCACAGATGAACAGAGACAAGTGTCCTGCATACTCTCTTTCTTGCTGCACTTTTTTGCCGTGACCTGATCAGGTTTTCATAGCCTGCTTGAGTCAGGCTAGAGCAAACACCTCTTGGGTGATAATAAGAAGCTGGAGATAGAGAGGAAAACCTTCATAGCAGCAGTCAGATCCACAAGACTAGGCTAGAACTTTACCTTCTGTCACACTACAAACCCACTGGCTCTGTGTATATGTTTCCCTCTTACCATCAAGAGGGCAGACAAGTTACTTCATGAGCCAATGCCAGGCTGCAGCCTCTGGAAGAGACCTTCAGTCTGGGCTTCTCTGAAGCTTGAGGAAAACATGAAAGCTCCATGCCAGACTTGTGATACTACTGAACAGACTGTCAGATGGCTAAAACTATTCACTTATCACTCACTTTGAAGGTAGAAACTAAAATCATCACAGCAACCTACTCAACACTCTTGTAGAACTAAAAAATACTGAAACAAATCTGTATGATACCTGGCTCAAAAGGACAGGATTCATCTCACACCTTAGCCACTGGAAAATTAACTACTCAGACCAGTCAGTTATTATAGCTTTTCTGTTCTTTAATCTCAAAAAAACAACACATATTTTGTTCAATCAATCACTCTCAATTATCTAACCCTGTTCATTTACTAAAAAAGCTAAGTGAAGTCGCTACAGTCAGGTGACAGTCACACCTAGAATGAAAAAATGTAAAGAACAAATGTAATTAAAGAAAGAAGAAAAAGAATATTTTATTATGATTCCCATTCACTACAGCCTTCAATCTCAACATCCTTTGGTGGCAGCTTGATTCCCTTAACTTTCAAAAGTAATCTTGGACTATTAACTACTCAGGAAAAACAACAGGAGAAAACAAAGTGATCAACAGAGAAAAATAACTGACTTTTTATTAGCACTTCAACAATTATCTAGTGTTCCACGTTAAAGCACATGTTAAAGAGAACCCTGGTACTACTGATCCAAAGGAACAGAATGGGGTCTTTCTCCAAGTAAAAATGAAAAAGTGTTCCCCCTCCCCTGCTTGCTATCTTTTAAAGAAAAGCTAGATTTTTTATTAGCTGTCTATGAGCAGAGACATGATGCATACTGCAGCCAGATACTTCAAGTTTGACAAGACAAAAATAAGTGCTTTAGCACGCTAGGTCCCTTCAAATCCCCCTTTGCTTAGTTGAGAAGGAGAAAGAAGGAGAATTAATTTTTTTCTTCCCTCTTCTCCCATTTTCCTCCTATTTTTTACAGCCCGGAAGGAAAAGTTGAATACAATGAAATTGAGAGGCCATATATGATACGTTCCAATACAGCTGTCACAGTGTTTTAAATTAAAATTTAATTACAAGCCTTTTCCTGCAGTATACAACATGTTAGTGCTTGCATTATAATTTTTATGTCAGATCATAGAAAAGAGATCTGCAAAAATGATAGATCTGCTGTATGGTTACATTTTTTAGTGTATTACCTCTTCAAAATCTGTGTTTTAAGTGCTCTTTACATAAAAACAGAGGTAGCCAAGAAGAAATGCTGTATTTGATATGAGGTCTCTATTCATGGTGTAATAAAAAAATGTTTGTTCTCTTGACCAAGATGGATTCATTTCAATCTTCTATGACTTTCTTCATAATAGTTTGTCTTCTCTAGATATGAATGCTTTCTAACACAAGGACAGTGATTTCTATTTTGCCTTTGTCACCATGGACAATTGCTACATTATTATGGAAATATGAAAAATCCATGTTATTAGGCAAATACTTGAATTTCATTGAAGTATATTTAATAGAATAAAAATGAAACAGCAATCTATGTCATAATTTAACTTTGCTGGACTTATTAGGAAAATTAAACATGCTTTTAATTAGATCAGTGAAAAGCCAAATAATCAAAACACTGGATTTTAAGTTTAAAATGTTACTGTGCTGTCCAAACAATAGCTTATTTATTTAGAAAAATTCTAAATAATTTTAGCATCTTAAATATAGAATTCTAATGAATTTTCAGCACCTTAAATACAGAAGCATAGAATGTTTTGGGTTGTAAGAGACCTTAAAGATCAGCCAGGACCAACTGGAATCCCATAGGCAGGGAACTTTCCTCACCAGGGAACCTTCTGACAAGGCTGATCAGAGCCCCATACAGCCTGGTCACGAGCAATTCCAGAGATGGGGAATCCACTTCTCTGGGTAACCTGTTCCAGTGCCTCACCAGCCTCACAGCAAAGAGTTTCTCATCATCTTATCTAAACCTGTCCTCTGTTAGTTTGAAGCCATTCCCTTTGTCCTGTCACTATACGCCCCTGTGAAAAGCTCTTCTCCCACCCTCTTGTGGGCCCCTTTTAGGTACTGGAAGGTGCTACAAGGTGTCACCAATGCCTTCTCTTCTCCCAGCTGAGCAGTCCCAGCTCTCTCAGCCTGTGCCCATAGGAGAGATGCACAGGGCCAGTGATCAGCTTAGTGGCCTCTTCTGGACTTGTTCCAACAGGTCAACATCATTCTTGCATTGGGGGCCCGAGAGCTGAAGACAGCAATCCAGGTGGGATCTCACAGGGGCAGAACAGAGAGGAAGAGTTCAAATGTGCTTTTTTCAGGATCACAAGAATATTAATTAAGAAAGCATCACTAAGCATCACTACTCCTAAAGTAGTAAGTACAACTGAAAGTCTAAGTGAACAAATTGAAACACTGGGGTCCAAATTCTGTGAACAGATCAAGTATGCAATATGTTTTGCCTGTGCAGAACTGGACCATATTTTTTTCTCAGACACTAAGGCAAAAGATGGAACATTTACAAGCTGCTTAAAATAGGTAAACAGTTCAAGTAAATGTACATTTCCTTGTCAGACTTGAAGATTACTTGGCAAGTGCCTGATATCCTGTGTTTCATTTAACATAAGTGTGCACCATAAAAACAGTGGAACCGTATTTTAAAGAAAAGTAACTTTCCTAAAATGTTCCTGATTCACAGCATCTATACAATCCCCAAAAGAAAAATAACGTTATGCTTAGATCTCAAATCATGTTAGCATCTATTTCAGAGAACGTCCTGAGTTTGAAGGGACATGCAAGGATTCGCTTCTGCTTGCATCTGTTTGAAATTTATTTTTAAGTTTTGATGAAATCAACAGTTGCATTGTCCATGCCAGCCAAAAAACAGCTTTGATGATAAGACTGAATACAGTTTTGGCACAGTATTTTTTAGTGAATTTCCATGACAGAAGTACAGACAGATAGGAGGAGGAAGTCAGTAACTACTTAAAGATGGCCATGAGTTATTAGTTCCTTCTTGTAACGGCTCAATGTTGACCTTAAAAAGAACATTTTCATTCTTTTATGCATTGTCTCATTGGAGATTTAGTTTGAAGGGCTAATCTGCCCATCTTTTTATACAAGTCTATATCCCCTGACTGAACTACATCTCCTAGGAGTCAATGCAGTCTTCTCCAAAAGTCAGCTGCCTTATGACAGTGAGATATTCTTCCACCTCTCATTTTCTGTGACCTCTGTGACAAAACTGTAGTTGTAAATATGAGCAGAATATAAATCACTATTTAGCTTTGGTATGATTCCCTGACTTTGGCCTGCAGGGCATCACAGGTCTTCTTAGCATCTCCCAACAACATGGCAGTATTGGGCTTGTAGAAGATGGGATTGTCCACTGCTGCATAACCAACTCCCAGAGATCTCTTCATTACAATGACCTGCACATAAAGAGTTCATGTTTGAAACAGCAAAATGCAACCAGCACCCTTCCTCAAATAAAGGCAACACAAAACTAAACTCCACAAATAAGGGAAGAGAAACCTCTGATCAAAACAGGGTACTCACTGCTGTGAAACTGTATTTCAAATTTTAATATAGGAGATAAACTGATATCCAGACCAATTTCAGAAACATTCTGTGGTTAAAAACAATGTTATATTTCAGCTTAAGACATGGTGGATGTTACACATACATTTACTTTATTCCATGTAATGAAGTCAAAGCAAATTGTCAATTGATGACTATAACATTGAAAAGGTTTGAGACTTTAGTTTTGAAGTGTTCAATTCCCTGATAGCAACAAAATTCATATAAGTATTCACATAAATACTTGGTGCAACAGTGTCTTTACTATTGATCTGTATTACTTCATACATGGGACATTAAAAAAAAAAAAATCAGCCAGTTCCAGCTATTGTGTCAAATTAGTTAACCATGGCACCTTCAGCAGAGAAACTGAGAAGCTTTATCTTAACTGTGTCTGTTGCAATATATAGCTACACACACCGCTGATAAATGTGTATGCCTGTGACTGAGTATTTAATGGATAACCCGCAGAACAACTGAGACCACGACTGCATTCAGAAGAAGGTATCAAAGATTTTACACCAGGGAAACACAAGTATATGTACTTTAGATCAGAGCAAAACTGTTAAGGTAACTAAACTGTTGGTTCAACTTGGACAGTCTAAGCGTTCTACTTGACTCAGTCATGCATTGTTTTGGGGTTTTGTTTGGTTTTTTGGGGGCTATGTTTGTTGGGGTTTAGTTTGGTTTTTTTACTTTATTTAAGCATATTATTCATTCTTGTATTCTACCACAGTATTAAAGTTGTTAAATATAAACTTAACAGGTATTTGTACAGAAATGTTTCAGGGCTGCAGATGTAAGCAGACCACCATTTATTCTAATCACATTCTATCTAATAGAAGCATTCCAATTGATCTTTTCTATTGCAGTCATCATTAGTCTCACTAAAGCACTTGATGATGATTATAAAACCATGAACAGTGTGTCGCACTTGTAAAGCACTGACCATTTTGTTGGACAACCTGGAGAAAATCTTCTTTTGAAAACCATAATAGTGGAAGAATCTTGTTAGCTTATCCTATAAACCATGTTTTTAAAAGCTTGCTATAGGTAGGTGATTAACTCTGTTAATCTCACCTGTTTCGACTTCCAGACCTCAAGAACTGGCATTCCAGCTATGATAGAGTTCGGATCTTCCTGAGCTGCTGAATTAACTGTATCATTTGCACCAATTACAAGGACCAAGTCAGTTTCTGCAGCCAGACAAAGAAAATAACACTGATGAAAAATTATCTGGAATTGGAACACTGAGGCTGATGCATATTCTAGGCAGAAGAACCCCTAATGGTTAAGCATACACACAAGTATTTTACAAACTTCTCAGGCAAGTTGTATGCACATTATATGAGAGTTCAAATGTGCTGCCAGCTACCTCTAACAAACACATCCACAACCCAGTTCCAAGGAACTCATTAGACCACCCTGCCACACAAAGTTTAAATCTTTTTAATATTTAAATGTGGTTGAATACCCATATAGTATCGTCACTTTCAAATTTTTTTGTGCCTGGCTTTTCTTTTGAATATTCTTCTGAAAAACCTTTTGCCAGTGACCTTTGGCCCTTTAAATGAAGAGGAAAGAAAGCAAGAAGTTGCCAGTACAATGCTGTACAGGTTTGCAGTATATTACAGGGTCAAGTCACCACAATACCTGACCTAAAGAAGTAACAATAATTTTCATCTGTGGCAATGGGGCAGTAACAGAGATAAACTATAATACAATGTAATAAATAATATAATATAATTAATATTATTAATTATCATACTATTAATTAATTTTATATAACACATTGTATATTATATGTTATATTCCATTATTATAGATTATATATAATGCATCTTATATATCTTAATTATAATATAATGTAATATATAATATAAAGTAATATATAATCTAATGTAATGTAATAATATAACATAATATAATATAACATAATATAATATAATATAACATAATATAATATAATATAACATAACATAATATAATATAATGCTGAATAAAGATGCAGCATTTGCCATTTCCTTCACAGCTACAAGCAATTAAAAAAAAACAACTCCCCCCACTACCCCTCCCATCCCCCCCCAAAAAAAGTCTAATTCTCTACAAAGATAAACTGAATGGCTTAACTTCTTGGCCTTCTACTGTTGAAAATCTCTGTGCAGTGCACAAACAGAATCAAATAAATCCTCCAAACTACTGGAAACTTATGGCTCACATGCTAACCTGGGAAGTCTTCATTGATTTCATCCATTTCCAGTACAATATCATAGGGAACGCCAGCCTCTGCTAGCAGTACATTCAGCTGACCCGGCATACGGCCAGCCACAGGGTGAATACCAAACCTAAAAGGGAAGAAATCCCATTAATAAGTTTGGACCACTGTGTTTTATACATTAAAATTGTTATCTGTAACACATACAAGGCTGAGAAGTTCTTAAGTGTAAGTCCAAATGGCAATTAATAAAATGAAACTGTTAAACTTGAACAGTTCACCTTCCAAGCAGTATCATATTTCAAACCTTATGACAGATTCTTTTGGAGTTTTACAAATTAATCTTTTAACTCCAAAACTACCATTCACATTAATATGTTTTTCAGGTCCCTTACATTACTGAAAACATCACAGACTAAATAAAATCACCATGCCACCTTTCTGAAGCAAAACCATTCCTAGACCTAGAGATAGATGGCCTTGGGAAATGACTTTATTGACTCAGGTATGTCTAGATTATGTACAAGAAACACTTGTGTATGAAATGTATGCACACTTTCAATCCAACAGAAAAATTAACAGGGGATCTACTTCAAGCACAAGACAATGCCTTGCTGAATTAGGTTAACATGCCACTTTCTTCTCAGGACTGACCTTAGGAGGAAATAGAGATAAAAAAAAGGATGGGGACTGAAAAGGTGGAGAGCTAAGAAACTGTAACAGTTTAACCATAATTTTTTAAAAAAATGTTTTCAGAACAGCTCAAAAACAACTTAGAGAAAATACACTGCTCATGAATTACTAAAATTTCAGACATACTAACAGGGTGGCACCTGGAGTACTCAGGCATGCATGCAGTTCCCTAAAAGAAAAAACCTGAAAAAGACAGAATGAAGATGTTAAACTGATTAGCTGCAACCACCAAAGATGTACTTGGTTAGAAGCAAATCTGTTTCCTGGTACTCTTCTGATCACCTACTGGCCCTTACAAGCAAGGCATATCCATGTCTACTGTCCTGTGCACTTTTCTGTCTTTCCATCTCTGGAGCTACACCAGATGGAATGCTGACTCATGCACACCAGAACTGTCTGAGATTAACATAATATGGGGCTGAAGATGAATGCTTAATTCAGCAGCTTACAAATACTTTGGAAGAGAAGGAAAATAGTCAAGAAAAAACTTGGATTTTTGAATTCTTGGATTTTGGAAGAGAAATTTCTGAACAGAAATCCAAGTAAGTTGGGAACTAAATGAAAGTAATTCAGAATTCTTCAGAAAGGAGAGATTTACTAATAAATCAACTTGCCATGACAGATGGAATGTCATATACTTCTATTTTCAACTCCACTGCGATGGGAATGGAGAACACAACACTGATGGACCACAAGTCACAGTCCAATCAACATAGATCAGTTATGAATTGAAGACTGTACAAATGCATCCTTAAATGGGAAACTGAGCACTCCATCATCAAGGCAACATTAATACAATAAAAAATGAAACAATTGAAACTCCAGCGACAAAACTAAGGACATATGATTAATCCACATAATACTAGATATACTACAACTTTAAGCTCTAGGTCAAACAGTAGGATAAAAGCTAGTTTTAAAAGGAATACTTTTAAAGAAGAACAGGAATAGATTGTGTTCAGCTAGTAAACATTTGGGACCCTGTTGCGAAGGCTAATGTGTAGCATCAGAAGGAGAGCAAATATACAGCACAAATTACTAACAGCTTATGCTTCACACCACTCAGTAACACAAGCCATGTGTAGTACTGCAGATAGATTTTAAGTAAACCAAATTTGATCACTAACAGTACAGTAGGAGAACTCTTATTCTGAAGTACCCTTGAGAAAACTCATCACTCCTCTGGCAGTGAAAATAGATTTTCCAACAAAATTCTCTTTTGTGTCTAATAAAATTATTTGAGTGCCTTTGTGACCAAAGCTGCTTTGGCAATACACAAAACAAAATACCCGTGAGGTTTCTATTAAGTACTATATACACATACAACCTTATTTCAAGGGCTGGAAAGCCAAAATTTAAGCTGCCAAGAGACTGAATTTCACCTTTGACTTTGCCATTCCTGGCAAGAGGCAAGGAAAGAAGAAAAGAAAGAAAACAAATTATCTTCATGCAGGAAGAGCTATGGCATGAACCATCAATAGTTAGAGACTTCTGACAGACTGCTTGAAACCACATACTGTGTACTCACAAAGTTTGAGAAAGCTGCTCATACAAAAGCTTTTTTGGACAAATATTGAAATGACTCCCAAAAGTCTGCTTGTAAGAGTCTGTTAACCAAATATGATAGTAGCTTGCCAGTACTACTCAAAATTGGATGCACAAAAAAGACAAAAAGAATAATTAAAATGTATAGATACTCTAGGGCTCTCATTGTGTCACAAGGTAACATTTACACACCTCTTGAGTGAAATCATACTGTCCAATAGAAAGCAGGATTCAGAATTCAGGTAATCATGGAAAATAGATACCTAAAATCCCTGATGGCTCAAAATGTGTCTAACAAAAGCAGGAATTTTGCCTCCAACTCCCAACAGCAGCAGTTCTTCAAAGCTATGTGCACTTCAGCAGGAACATTTTGTTACATATGCTGTCTCAGATGTTCATAGCATGAACCTCATTTATATTCAAAAATTTAACACAGAAATTATTTTAAAAGTAAAACATGTTTTATGGCAAAAATGTTTTCAAGGGAAAAATTGCAAATTTTTTGCCATCAGTAATGCAGGAACTCCCTTAAGTTGGTTTGCTTGTTTATAAATCAAGAAGAAATCTTAAACCACAACACATAGTCATAATCATGTTGTGTATGACTTGAAACGCTGTTCTGATATGTCACTAAAACACGGAATTCAACAAGAATTTTTTTCTTTTGACCCTGACAACATAATGTAGGGCTTGCTTACCACTAATAGTTGTCAAATACTGAAGTAAGTGTGCATCACCTCGCTACTCACACTTCATAGATACACAGCTTGAGACAAGGATATTCAACTTTTTTTAACCAGCCTCTACTGTATACCTTTTAGTTTTATAAAGACAACAGAGCACACAAGTTTACATTTTGAATTTTTTCAAAACAAAAAGTGCAGCATTTTATTTTAAATTTAGACTAAATATCTAAAACTCCTGACATACAGAAATCTTCATCTGGAGTTGGGGAGACACAAAGGACTGAAGGTGGTGAAGTAGTATGAAGTTAGTCAAAAAGACAACTGCAGCATGAAAAATGACTGAAAAATCTCAGAATAGAAATTACTTTTCATACAGCTCATAAAGTCAGTATCTATCTTTATTACAGCTGGCTAAATAATATTCATTAATCAATACTGAAAGAGATGGCTCACAAGAGCAGCACCTAACCCAGTGCAGAAGTGTTTCAGGATCATTTCATCAATGTGAAGATAGGGTTCCTGTCATTATACCAAAGCTGGGCAGAGCAAAGTGACATCTAGCTGGTGCCTAATTCAGCTCACTCAACGCTTTAAATGTTGTATTTGCCCAAGGGTTTTGCCTCACTTACAGCTCCTCACATCTCATTCATTTTATTTAGACACCTCTCTGCAGCTTTGTTTTCAGTACAAACAGCAATCCATTATTCTAGGTAACAGAAAGGGGAAAAAAAACACCTAAAAACTAGATGAACAGACAAGTGTATCATACAGGTATTCCATAGCTTGAATCCTGCCATGTAACAGTTGCAGTGCAGCTTGACTCAAGAGTATAATCACACATTTGGATATTTATCACACATATGGATCACTGTAGGTTGCAAGCTAACCTAACCCTAACCCTAAACCCTAACCCTAACCCAGCACTACCCCTGCTAGCTAGCTTAGACCTGCTGTCATGCTGAAGGCAACATATGCCACCAAAACCAGTCCTAGAGCTTGGAACAAGCATGGACCAAGCTCAGTGGCTCACATGTCAAGTCAGTTAAATTTAAATGGAGTTAGACAGCTAAATTACACGTACTTAAATGAGGGCTGATAGTGGCTCCCTATTTCCAGCCATTATGGTTTATGAAAGCAGGGGCAAGATCCAGATGGATCTTCGGTCTGTGCAATAGCCTTCCCAAGAACCCAACTACAGGCAAAAAAACAAGAGTCTGCATCCACAAAGCATCATATACTCACCTAGTAAGGTCATCCAGAGGTGAGCTGACCCATATGGAACCAACAGCACGCCTACAATACTCCCCCAGGAGCACTCAGCTACAGCTGCATCCTTGCAGAAGCCATCAGGCACTGCATGGTTTACAAGTTCTAACTACAGCAATAAAGCACCGAGTCTAAACAGACCTGTGCAACTCCAGCTGTCCCTTCATCTGCAGCATTAATAATTCACAACCCACACACTAAAGTTGATTACAACAAACCAAGAACTGACTCACAGGTACGCACTTTGTGATTTCATGCTGTGTATAACCCAGCTTTCCAGAATCCTGCACCTGCACACATGGGTCTTATGCTGCTGCTCATCAATGACAGTACTTTCCATCTTGCACGTGTGACCTGCGCAGTGTGTTGAAGATTCTTGGGACAGCATCTTAAGAGCTCATTAGCTTTAAAATTCTTCTAGATTTTCTTGTAGAGCCACAACAGATGATGGCTTTAATGATGTTTTAGATGATGTTTATGGCTCATACCATAAACAGTTGTAGGTAATCAGTCTTGTTTATTTATTTGTAGACAAATGTGTAACTGATACTCATGCACATGTTCTATTACTTTCAAGAAAGTAAAGAGTGGAAAAATAAATCAGAACACTAAACACACTGGATTAGAGGTCAGCCATTGAAGTATCAATAAAAAAACCTTTAAACCACAGGTACAACGCTAAATAAATACTACCATATTTTCAAAAATGTGGAAGACTCTTCATGTGTTCAAAAGTACTTACATTCTCCAGCATCAAAAGACATAAATCCAAGTTCTTCAAGATATCTACTTATAAAAAGGTTAAAAAAAACCCAAACCAGAACACTAACTTACTAGCAACTATTTTGAAAGGCTTCAAAATAGGTCATTGTTAAAGAGGCAGTGTACATGTCTCTCAACTATGAATTCCCAGGAATCAGCTTATTAACTATGTAATTATTTAGAAAGTCTACATAAAGCACAATTTTAAGAGTCCTTGCATACCAAAATGCATTTTGCTTATCAAGAACTATTATTACTATTCATGAGAACAAAACACATTGATAGAAAATGTCTCAGGAAAGACATCTGTGGTAAAACTAGGACAGTTAACTGCATGTGGATATGCGCATCAACAACCCTTGCATATATGAGAACATACAGTTTTAGACTGTGATTATATTTCTATATATAAAATTACTACAGAATATAATTTATTATACAGAAAAAATCAGAATTTCACAACCAGGGTTCTACAAACAACATAACATGTGGCTGATGAACTTTAGTAAGGCAAGAACTTTCAACAATTTACTTACTTCTAACTTTGCAGAAATACAACACCAGTTGTAGAACAGCCATTTCCTCTCCAAGGCCAATAGATTCTGGGGGCTATGGGATTTAGCCTATAAAAAGTTTCGTTGTTTATTCATCCATGAAAAGGGAAAGCTATACTCAAGGCTCAGTAATATCCAGCTTTCTCTGTGACATTACTAATGTGTTAAAGATGTGATCTGCTGCAAGACCATCTCAAGTGAGTGATGATGTTAGCTATGCAACTGAGTAACTAAAACAGTCTAAAGTTTCCAAAATCTCTCCTGTATTTCTAAATTTAAATCCTAGTCAAAGGTTACGCATCATGTTATATAATCTGCGGTCTTCACTGAGAATGTTATGGCTATAGGCAAAGCAAATTAAAACAACAGCTTCTCCGGATCAGTGGTGAGCCATGAAGCAAAAAACCAGACCGTATGACAGTCACAATTTTTCTTGGCACATGATGGGCATTACAGACTGATGCAATCCTATGTCCATGCTGGCAGCCCTCCACAGCGTGTGTGTGAGAGTGTCACTACATCTGGATGGTGAGTGCATTAGGGTCCCGAGGCACTCCAGGCCTACTGAAACCAGAGGACAACAGCTGCACTCAATGAACACCATGGGAGCTCAGCAAAGTGATGAAAGGCCTGAATTACCACAAACTGTAAATACAGATTTATTTCATTAAAATACTAGGTAACCACTGCAGTGATCCCTTCCTGAAATTGACTCATTTCAAGTATAAGCCATTTATTTCAAGGACTCATTCACTTTTCTCTCCTGCAAAGCCAACATAAAAGATAAAAACAATATTTGTTTTTATTTCACCAAGGTTGGTCAAAAAAAAGCTAACCCCCCACAGAAGCACTGAAAGAAAAGCTAGAAGTACACAAGATTGTCATCACATTAGCCATGAAGGGGTTTTTTTGTTGCACAACTACTAAGGCATCTTCAAAAGTTTTAATGGGATCTGGACACACACAGAGCTGTTGCTAAACATGGGGAAACAAGGTGTGAAGACTGCTCCAGGAAGCAAATACACCACCACACACCCTCATTTCTCATGTATGTACAAATACATCCATAAAGCATTTTTATATGCAAAATTGCAAAATCCTGGTTAAACACTAATAAGTCATTGCTGCTAAACCCTAGAACTCTGCTGTTATCCAACACAATGCTGTAATACCCTACAAAAGCTTACAACTTTTTAATAAGGTTGAAAAAGTAGTGGAAGAAGAAAAACAAAACCAAAAAACACTTCCAAAGGGAAGTCACCATCTAATTGAAATAAATATATGGAAATCAGAAATGAGTCTGGCTAACCAGCATCTGCCAAAATACCTTGTTTAAAATGAAAACCAAGCCTCAAATGATTTTAAAATATTAAGTTATCATAATTAGAAAACAAGCAAAATGTCAAACAACCAGCAAGAAAGATATGTTTGCTTTCAGTACTTTCAGAATCTATAAGGTCTACAGAAAAACTGAAGAAGGAAAGGACTTGAAGCCAGTACTAGCAATCTAAGAATTATCTCTGCTTTTTGGAGCAGCACTCTGGCAGAATTAATTCATGAGACTGGAGACATGCACTCCCATAATCCTTTCATGAGGTACTCAAAGACATCTAATAGCAGTCTTGCCTGCAATAGCAAAATCTTACAGGAACCCCTTAAGTGTGGGTCTAAGCTGCTTAATGGTTTGGAGTATCTACCATAAAAGCAGAGGCTGAAAACTGAGATTCTTCTGCCTGCAGAAGAGAAGGATCAAGGGAATCTTATCGCTGTGTATAAATACATATGGAGGGCAGTAAAAAAGATGGATACAGCCAGATTATTCTCAGGGTATCCAAGGAATGGGCAAGAGGCAACAGCAGAAAATTACAACACAGAAAAAATACAATTTTACTGTAAGGATGAGTGAACATCATAAGAAACTGTCCAAAGAGGCTGTCAGTCTCCATCTCTGGAGACAAGATATTCAAAACCCAATTTTGGAGACAACTTCTCCAGTTGATTCTGGTCTGAGCAAGGACGCTGGATGAACTAGACAATCTCCAGGAATATCTTTAATTTTGCTATTCTGTGCCTCTGTCAATGCTGAAAAAAGTGTTAAACCAAAACTAAGATTTTTTTAGGGGTTTTTATGGAATGAAAAAGCCAAACCAAACCAAACCACCTGTAATACCTTTCATCAAGGAAAACACTTACCTCACATTTTTCCCTTGTTCTCGTAACATCTTCACCAGATCAGCTATTGGGTACTGAGCTTTTGCTGCACACAAACCATAACCTGAAAGAATTTCAAAATTTTAACCTATTTTCCTATTTTAGTGCAGAAAGACTAGTTGCAGACAATAAGTGTACCTTCTGGAAAAATACATGCTCTCATAATTAAAAATAAATTAAAGAAATAAAAAAAAAAAACATACATCAGATTCTCATCTATTCCCAGCCTGACCACTGTAATTAATCTCTTTTTTATTTACTGAGCACTTATAGTGCAGTGATTTGACCAGTCAAATCAACTACAAAAGCATTTATTTCTCCTTCACAAAAAGACATGTTCCTTTCTCTATCAGAAAAGGATGTTTCAGACAGGTATTTTGAAAAATTGATAAAAGGGCAATTGCCAGGTTACTTCACATCCATCATCCTCAACAGAATTCCAATCTGCATAATGCAAATCTAGCAGCTGGATATGGCTTTTAGCAGCAAATAATCTTTTCAGTCTGTCTGAGCTAATTCATCAGAGCAACTATACCCAGAAGAAAAAGAAAAAGCATATATTATTAATGGTGTCCTCAAGGTTTGACCACAGGAGAAAAATGTAAACTTCTTGAAGATGACTGCAAGTTTCATTAGAAGCAAAGGTAGCTTCTCAAATTAGAGCCTTGCCTCACTGAAGGTCTCATTAAAGTTGAAGCAAAATGAAAGATTACTTTGCATTTTAGCATTCTTCACATTCCAATGCTAAAACAAGTTTAATATAATGGCTATGCCATTCAGTTGAAGAAGTCTTGAACTGTCCCCTGCCTGAGTTTTCCTTTCAGGTAATGTGCCACTGAATGACATGAACAGCCTACATAATCGTGTCAGACAATTCAGGGTTTTATTTTCGGGTTGGATTTTTTTTACTTTAATTACAGTATTTATATTAACTACATTTTGGATGGGGGTTCTTGACCTTTTTTCTCGTAAACCAACAAAGAATTGAGCAAGTACATGAGAAGTGTAAACAAAATCCTGTCTTTCAGGATTTAAGTGACAGATATATAGGTACCAGTGGTACTGTAGTTGTGCTTGGAAATTCAGTTTTGTGTACAGCTGTTGTGGTGTAAGCTTAATTTATAAAAGATAGGCTTTGTTCTGGAGAATTTAAAATTCAAATAAAAAGGACAAACTTTGAAGACACATACACAAAGAAATATGAATTGGCACACATCTCTGCACCAGGGAATGATAACTGACCAGGAAACAAAAACAAATCACATGGATCCAGTCAACATTTAACATGCTGCTGCCGTGCTGCAACATCAGGCCACACTTCTGTTTGTTTGCTTTTATTTGGTTGGAGTCTTTTTTTTTTTTAATTACATCCTCTGAATATCTTGCTTTGTAAGTCAAGAAAGTCTTACCTGGAGTAATAATAATACTATTGGCTTCTTTTATCATTTCAACTGCATTGTCCACATTGATTTCTGTGTGAGTTCCAGTAATTTCCATGGGTTTCCCACCAGCTGTTGATGCAGTGCCATAGCCTCCAAGAATCACATTTGCAAGGGAACGGTTCATAGCCTGAAAGAGAGGATGATTTTGATCACAGAAAGAAGAAATACAAAAATAAAGATGAGAGTCCACAAAGAAAACTTCTGATAAAGTTTTCTGAAAATATTAAAGGCTCCCTGACAATAGTCTTTATAAGCTGGTTTTCCCTTCTTATAACCCAAACACTCTTAAAACAGGCTCTTTAAAATAGTTTACCACAGCAATCACCAAACACCAGCTTTGAACACATTACATTACACACATAGTGGGAGACCACCAATATTTCTCCGAAACAAAGAACAAAACTATGCAAATAGAAAATATTAGTCTCTTTTTGTTCTTAAAAGGAAGGAATATGAAAGAATGCATGTTCAATGATAAGAGTTGCTAATTTTTTTTTTACGTTGGTATATACCCACACACATTTTTACAAGATACTTTCCATATCTTTTAACCAGTTCAACATATAAGCACAGCACTGCTCCATGACAGCATGGAATCCACAAAGCTCTTAAAGGAGCAAAACTCCTACAGCAACAAAACAGGAAAACACAAAAGCAACTAATCAGCCACGCAAAACCAGCCACGTTGTAAAGAGCTGATACTGGCTGACCACCAAAGGAAAACAAGGGATTTTAACTGGAAGGTTTAAGAGAAGAACACACCCTGAAAATCTGGCTCCATTTGTCACATAGCCAGGAAAAGCCATTAGCTAAATGCTTTCTTTGACACATCTACTTGTGACTGTGGTCCCAAAGCAGTATATGTCAATAACTGGAATTAGGCAAAACTTGTAACTGCAGGGGGAAAAAAACTTTAAAAGCAAGAAAGGAAGAGGATAAAATGTTTCTTAATTACACATGTGAGTCATACATCTTCTGTACTAGCTGAGAAACCACAACAAAATTTAGGAATGGATCTGAAGAGACACACATATAAGTGGGAGGAATCACCCCCACAAAATTGTGCTTCCAGACATCCATTCTCCACTGACATTTCAAATCATGCAGTTCCACAGTTTTTTTGCTATAGCCTCAAAAGACATGCTATTCTTGGAAACTTATCATCTAGCAAATAAGCAGAACGATGATGTCGGAACTTTTGGTTTTCATCAAGTAAGTCATCACTGTTTCAGATACTGTAAGGGACACACACAAACACAGCAAAATCAACTATTTTACTGTCTGCAGCACACAGTAGTTCACATGCCCTAAGAACACACTGCCTTTGGCATCTATCTCAACATTACAGCAGCTGTGCCAGGTAAGACAGCCTGGACAAGAATACCCTCTTCAGATGTTGCACATGCCAAGCTTGTGCAGGAAGAAGAGTACTTTCTACACATATCTAAACCAAAAGACAGCAGTCAGACTAAGTCAAAGGGAAAAAAAAAATAAGAGATGATATTATTAGAAATCTGAGAACCACCTAAAAGCAAGCATGAGATTGAAGCACCCTTGCCTGGCTGTACCGCAAAGAGCCAAGAAGAACTTCCCTTCCAAGAGAAAATGTGGAAAGCACAAAAGAGCCAAGACCTTATCAAGCAATGGTTAACCAACATAGCTGGGACAGTGTGAAGACTCTTCTGTAGCCTAGTCCATCTTCTTTACCACTACAGACTACAAGTATGGAGGTATAAAGTGCAGATGTCACTCACTGATAATCCAACAACTGGCAAAAAGCCCCCTGTGTTGTGCATAGATACGTGTGTAAGAATGGTCAGGAGCTTACAGCCCTGAATCAAATACTTGAATGCTGAGAACTGCAAATGATTCTATTGTGCCCACAGAAACTACACAGCTAGCACACAAGAATGGCCAGCATACAATTTGTAAGACTAACACAGTTTGTCCCCTCTCTTCCTCTGTTTCACCAACCCAGTTAATGGTTCCTTTTCAACCTCAAGTTTCTTCTGCATCCCATAGTGATTCTAATACCAGAACTGCAACCATCAAGTATTCCCTCTAGGGGAAAAAGGAAGGACAAGGACATGCTAACAATCAAATGTTCTGAAGATATGTTGTGTTGGTGTCTTAGAAGAGTCACAATTCACAGAACAAGCAAACAGTACAGGTCTTTGCTTTTTGAAGTTAAATTCTGTCTTTAACTCAGTTACCAACTGAAGCTTTAAGAGATTAGCTGGACTGCCTTTGGATGATTAACCTACAGTTTTACCACAAAAAATAATTGAAAAATGCAGTAAAAATAAGATATCAATTACCACTGTTGGACACAAAATAATGAAGCATGAGTTCAGTTCAGCAGCTAGAGGAAGATGATCAGAAGGCTTTATTCATAACTTTTTCAGCACCTTTCATAAGGTGTTCAGATGCAGGCTTAACATGATTGGTAAAGGGAACAACACCTCTCTAGTCCCATTGATGGAACAAGAGAAACACACTCAGAACAGCTGAGTGTGCAGAATTGTTTGGAGGAGTGTAAGTTATTTACAGAAATTGTCCTTGAGAGAAAAACTTTCTCAAGATACTTTCCCTTGGGAAAGAAATCAGCTACTGACAGGCTGAAAACCTTTACAGACTCAGAAAATCAGATCCACAATCAACTATTAAGGTGTTTCCACAAATACCTTTTCATCTGTAGTAGATAAGTATCCATAATGGTTTTGACAGAAATCATACTAAAGAGTAGGGGGGACAAAACAAAAGAAAAAAACAAAAGTGGAAGGGAAAACTGTTCCTTCATTAGCACTGGTTGAAACACCAAAAGCAGAATTTATTGAAACTCTTGAGCATTTCCTTCTCCTGAAATGCAGGTTCAAGACAATGATACTGAATCCCCTGATTATAACAATACTTTTAAAAGTAATTATTATTTCCATTAAAGGAAGTAAAGCAGAAAAGAAAAATTCTGGGCTGAGAGCATGTTATTCTATTTATTGTCCAGAAATCATACAAAATAATTTTCATTTTACTGGTTGATGACCTTCAGTTGTCTAAGTTCTATATGCTTTTATATAAAGCAGCACAAGATTTCTAGACACTACCTCAAAAACTAAACTTCCTGTAATCTGAGAAACATAGAAGAAAGCCACTCTGTCACTGCCTAACTCTTTGCAAACTATACCCCCAGGCTTGCTATTTACCTGGGTTCCTCTAACCAACTCTGTAAGTATTTCAAAATTCTTTTGTGAGTGCTTAGGGGTAAGCAATATTAAGAAAGGAAGGAGACAGTATCAGAAAAATGAAGGTATAGATAGATTACTGGTAAATACATACTAAACAGTTCACTTTTTCCCTAAGGTTTACAAGCATTTGATCCTTAAAGAACAGAATTTTCATACCTGTGTTACCCATAAGCACTATTTTTTCACTGACATGGACTAAATTTCTGAATGTATACAACTAAATATATGACCTACATAATTTGATTTTCTTTTGATAAGGAGAGAGAAAATGATCAAGAAAGAACAAGATTCTTTTAAATTCATACCTGAGTTGTTCATTTGAACTCACTTCCATGTAGTTGCACAAGAATACCTTCTAAAGCTTTTCTGAAATTCTTCCTCAAGAATGATGAAAAAGAATGATACTGAACATTCTTAACATGGGAACAATACTATTTATCAGTGGGAGATGAAGTAAAAGATGATCGCCAGAGCTGACCAGAGGAAAACATTGGACAGGAGAACAGTGGCACTGATCAAAGAGCACAAGGGCAGAAATTAAGCAGAATTACACACAGGCACATCACCACTGAACTCGTGCAAGCCTGCTGCCACCCCGTGGTATTCCAAAGTAGCTGCTCTGAAGACAAGATCACACCTTTCTGCACTCCAAAAACCAAACTATAAATCACTGGCTAACCAATAGCTTTTTAAACAAACACACTACTTAAAGTATCTCCTGCTACATATTAAATCTAGCTTAAATTTAACCAGGTTGCAAAAGCTGTATGACTGAAAAATAAATAGCTGACCACAAGTAGTCATACTTCTTCAAGCTCAGATTCAAACCATTAATGCTTAAGTCAATGCAAGGACTTTCCTCACTTTTGAGATATGTCTCTCACCAAACCAAAGAAAAATCACTGATATCTAGTCCAGCTGTTTCAATCAAGAATTTTCTAGTCTATAAACATGTAACAGTTTGAGATCCAATGGCTTATCTTCCTAAAAAACATGGTTAAAGAAGTTTTTTCATTACTTAGCAAAGAAGCAGAGTTTCTGTTGACTTCTTACCACACACATAATGTAAGAGAGGATGGCACCAGAGGAGCCAATGAGTGCACCAACAATGGTCAGCAAGTTGTTGTTCAGGAGAAAGCCCTCAGCACACAAGGCCCATCCAGAGTAACTGTTCAGGACAGTAATAACTACAGGCATGTCAGCACCTCCAATAGCTGCTGTTAAAGTGACCCCCTGGAGAAGGAAAGAAAATACTTCAGTATCAGCAGTGACTAAGGAGAACATCCAGAGAAGATACCTAGCCCGCAGCACTGAAGAATAAACATAGAATCATAGAATGGTTTGTGTTGGAAGGAACCTTAAAGGTCAGCCTTTCCAACAGTTTCCAGCAGTTCCAATTGCCCTGCCTTAGGCAGGGATGTTACACACTAAATCATATTGCTCAGGGCCCCATCCAACTTGGTCTTGGACACTTACAGGAATGGGACATCCACAACCTTTCTAGGCAGCTATGAAGTTACCTAGAACCTATTCAAGTATTTCCAGTGTAGGTATTGAGGCTGTGGCCTGAGGATTGGACTTACCAAATCTGCCTTTTCAGAGGACAGGAAGGTACCACGCCATATACATGTTCCGTTCAGTCACATATTTTTTTTCTTGAAAAATTATCCTACCAGCTCCATGGACCAGTTCATACCATAAGGCATTCATATTGTGCAGTCTTTGCAAGACTCAGTTTACAGAATGGCAATATTCAAGGTAAATTTTGCAACATTATTGTACACTGGTGGTGTAAGTGAATGCGGGAAGTAGATCCAGAGCTATTTTAAGTATTTTAGTGATTTACTTTCCAAAAAGTCTTATCAAATATCACTGTATCTTTTAAAAAGCTTCACTAATTAATAGCTGCAAAAGCTGTAATTATAAAAGTGCATTCCAGTTCTCTGGAACAGTTCTGGTTTACAGCTAGATCTAGAAAAGTCAGTTGCTACTTGCTACTGCAATTTACCACACAGGCACCATTCCCACTGTGACTCAGGATGGTAAAATATAATCCATAAAGAGGAAACTTGCAAAACTGGAGAATAAACTCCTTGTTTCATTTTCTACAATCCCTCAATTTACCATTATGGCTGAGAGTGCTGACACAGAACCCAGGCAAGTAATTCCCGTGGTGTAAGAAGGATCAATCATGTAGGGAACCATCCCACCAATGCTGGCAGCCAGCAAGCCTGCGTTCAATGCATGTCGACCAGGCAAGAGCAGAGGCGCAGAATTCAAGATGCCTGCAACCAAACACATTTTCCGACATGAACGTGTACATTCAGGGGAGCCTGTTTCTTACCTTCAGAGAAGACTGAATAACTCAGCAAAAGAAAAATTAAAAATGAGAAAAAGGGAGGGGCAGGAGATAAAACAAGTTAATTGAAGCTGAGCTCTTCTGCTGACTCAGAATTGCAACACATTCAAACTTCCTCAAGATTCTCAAATACTCTTGTTTGAACTCTGTTTACTTCCTAATTTTACTGAAGTGCTCCAGAATAGTCAGGAAAATCTCTTTTCCTTTTGAAAAAGGAAAAGAGATTTTTTTATTTTTCCTTCAACAAAGTGCTTTCACTTTGACTCCTGGTCTTTGTATGTTGACTACGACACACAGTTCAAGGAGGCTTTTAGCTGGAACTTCTACACAAGGATTATCTCAGTCTCGCAAAAATTTTGTGCTTAGAAAAATATGACTACACAGATAACGCCAAGTACAAAACACTCCTGCTTTCAAATGCATTAAATTCACAACTACTTTCAGTCACACAGAACTCCCACAGCTTCCCACATCTGCAGAAATTTGATGGGAAAAGGGTGTTCAGTATTTGTACGATTCAGTTTAAAACAGTCACATTTATTTTGTATTACTGGTTTTTTTTCAAACCACATGAAAAAGAGTTGCAAAATGCAAGTTTCCCAGGAATAACTTACATCAGCAATAACAGTGTCTCATTTAAATTTAGCTGAATTCAAGAGAAAGAATGAACTGATGGTCTCAGGCAGGGGAGTCAAAGTGTGTCACTTACTACCCTTTTCCATACCACAGGATCAGTAATTCATTAGATAGACAAGCTTCATATTTTGTATCATGATGACATGAAAATGCAAGGGAAAAAGAAGTAAACAGAAATAGGAGCACAGGCTCAAACAGGCAGTGAAGCTCACCAGGGACATGCGCACAAATCACTGATGGGTACAATGGAGAGAGTAAAAATAACCAAGAAGAAATAAATGAGTAAGTGCTTAGCAGAGATACATCAGAAATACATACTACGGACAAATCCTTCAAAAGATTATTAGAGAAGACAGCTTTCCATCCTTGTCATATTTCCTCCTTCAATGGTTGGTCTCACAAACACTGAAGAAAGCAAACAGATGTTTCCCAAAGGAACTATTGCAAAGTTAACAACAGGATTAGTAATAGGAAGCTGTTAGCCTGAAATTCTTAGTACAAGTATTACCTCAGCTTCTCAAAAGCTGTGTGCTTACAAAAACAAAAACAAATGCAATAAAGAAACCTTTGCAAGCATAAGAATCAGGAATTAGTGAGTATTTAACTTAGAAAGCATACTTGCTAAAACAGCAAGAAGCATGGAGTTTGTGCAGTAGGTAAACAGACAGTGAACTGAATGGTTTAAAGTCAGACAGCCTCAATACTGCAAGCTGCCTACCTTAGTGAAGATTGCAGTGTTAAGAACAAAATCCTAGAATTATTACTAGTTCTCACTGAATCCAGCAACATGAGAGTTTCAATTAAAATGTCTGCTCAGAAATACAAAGTTATGATCATAAAAGTTCAATAAAATAAATTCAAGGAAAAGCATCAATGTATTAACAGAAAAGCAACACTTATTTCTAGACAAGAGATGAATAGTAGTAATATGCCCAAGCACTGAAGACAACCTTTCATAACTAAAGCTGCACACAAACTAAACAGAATTAGAAACACAAAAGTACACTCGTTAAAATTAAACATAAAAACTTTTACCTGGTGCAAAATGCAGTGTTTCTTCTCAATTACACAGCAGTCTAAAAGTAGAGCCAGCTCCAGGGGAAAGAAAAGCCCTTTAACAAATATTTAATTCTGCATAGAACCTCTCACCTTGCAGTTTTCCATATGCAACAAGAGAGCCACTGAAAGTCACTCCACCAATGTATGTCCCAAGATAGGCCACAATCTTGGTGAGGTTTGCAGCAGGATCAGTGGCAAAGTGAGGATATTCAACCATGTACTCTGCTACACAGGTGAGCACAGCAGCCAAACCAACCAAACTGTGGAAAGCAGCCACTAGCTGAGGCAGATCTGTAATCTGGATGCGTTTAGCGATTGTCAGACCTATTGAGAGTTGAAGACAGAAGGGAAATCTTAAAAACACAACCCACTTGTTCAGCTAGAAATTTGTATAGGATGGTTCAGTGTGCAATGATTACACACACACACAAGCCTGCTCCAACTAGAAATTGCTATGGCATTGAACTGAAGGCTGCACATGTGTATTTTGTGCAAGGAGAACATCATGAAAAATAGAAAGATTAAAGCATATCATGTGCTAAGAAGCTTCAATAAATATTGAGAAATTCATTGTTTTCTGTGCAGAGGCACAGAGTGAAAGACGGAATTTGGCAGTATTTGGTCAGAAACTGAACAGAAGTATGAAGTTGGGCAAGATCATTTACCTCTGGACATGTGGTTTCCCTCATCATACACGTACCTATGGTCCCACCAAGTGCCATTGCACCTGACATCTGTGCCAACAATTCAGGCGAGGGATTAAGGCCTCCAAGGGTTGCGGCTAAACCTCCTGCAACACCGATCATACCCAAAGCATTTCCAAGACGAGCTGTTCCTTGGGTAGACAAACCAGCCAGGGCACCAACACAGCACAGTCCTGAGCCCAGATACATCACCTTTAAAACAGGAAAACCATCAGTATGAAGTAGTGACAAATCGCATTGCTGTAAAAACATCTCCAATTATTACACTAAAGGGCTGACTTCTCCAGAATGTGTTTAAGTCACAATTCTTAACTGAAGTTAAGAAACTGCCATACAGGATGTGTTTTTAGCCAATTAAAATGTGCTATCTATAAAGCTTTTCCCTCACTTGATGATCTTATTTTATCTGCAGAATGAATATTAACTAGAGCCGAACTAATTTTCCTTATCAGTTCAGAAGCAACCTTTCCTTTAGCACAAACCCAAAGCTAAATGGTCCTGTTCATTATAGGAATAGTTTTAGAATTTGTTTATGGCAAATTTGAACTAAGAAATAGTTTAGATAGTTCTGAACTACCAGCAATAACGTGGTCAGAAGGAGTAAAACTGTGATCATTCCCCAGTAGTCAGCAGTGGAGAGGCCACACCTTGAAATCTGTGTCCAATTTTGGACCCCTCATTCCAACAAAGACACTGGAGCAAGTGCAGAGAAGGGCAACAGGGCTGGTGAAGCATCTGAACCACAAGACTGATGAGGAAGGAGCTGGGGGTGTTCAGTCTAGAGAAAAGGAAACTCAGTGGAGACTTTATCACTCTCTACAACTCCTCAAAATGAGGTTGTAGCCAGGTGAGAATTGGTCTCATCTCCTAGGTAAAAAGTGAGAGGACAACAGGAAATGGCCTCTACTTGCTCAATAGGAAGGTTAACTAGGACATTCTTTTTCATGGAAAGCGTGGCAGAATATTGGAACCAGATGCCCTGGAAAGTGCTGGAGTCACCATTCCTGGAAGTGTTCAAAAAAACTTGTGGGTGTGGGACTTGAGGACATGGTCTGATAGTGACCATGGTAGTCACTAGTGGTGCAAGGCTGATAGCTGGACTTGATGATCTTTAATGTAGGTCTTGTCCTACATTGATGATTCTGTGGCACTCTGTAACTGTTGCTTGCAAAAAGTATAATCAAACTTACATGAACTGAGTTATATATGTCCAGATAATTGAAAAAAACCCAAATGCATTAGAAGCCTCTGCCATAACAGTATGTTTGGATTTGCTTTTTCCAAACTTTTTCTTGCTATTAAAACAAATGCAAACAAAAGTTTACTAAAAAAGATGCTTTAGGTAAAATCTCTGTACATCCCTCTGTGCTGAAAACTGATCCCAACCTTTTTTAACTGTCATGCCAAGCTGAACTTTCAGAAACATTTAAAACAAAGACTGATTTCTTTGATTACTGTATTATTTAGACTGTAATTTAGGAAAACAGTCCAACACATAAAAGCACCTGCTATGATAACACAAAACCAAACAAAAAAAGAGCTTTTAAAGTATGTTAGCTATGTGACTGCAAGCTTACAGTTAATCAGCTTCAGATTGGCCTTGTGGGAACATGATGGAAAGACCTTGGATTATTTGTTATTTACTCCTCAACAGAACAGGCATGAAGAAACATAACACTGAGCACTGGGCTAAGAGCCATAAAGTTATCTTCTTACTTGTTCAATGTTATAGCCACCGCTGAGAGCAGCTGCATATCCTCCTACAAATACACCACCAGGGAGCAGGTACAAATAGTTGTACTCAGGAGGGTCTGTGGGACGTTTGAACATATCCAGCATTCTCTGTGTAACTAAAAAGCCACCTGGACAAAGTAAAGGACCAATCTTAAAAAAATAAAATCTGAAATCAAGCACATGCCAAGTTATAAGAGAAATATTTAGTAATACCATATTACCACACAATTCAGCAACCAATAAAGCTAGTAACCTAGAAAACCACCAGGAAACAAAGGTATATTCAGGGTTAGATCTTGCTGTCTCTTTTAGCCTTTGGAAGAAATTCAGAAGAAAAGGAGAACCTGCTCTGGCTCCATACTCTACATTGACTGCAGGATACAGCTTCATTTATGACTGTGTTCTTTTACCCACCTAGTCTAGCAAAAGCAGTATTTCTAAGTCACATTGCTCACTTTCTTGTCTTTTTTATTATTGAAGCTGGGACTTCAGAAGCTCAAGGAAACAAAATTTTGTTCTATGCCACTATTTCAATTAGGAAAATTAAAACAAGTACAAATCCTCTACAACTACCTTCTTGGGTTATACAGGAAAATATAATCATCACCCAAAGGATACTATGAAAGGAAAATGCACATTTAAGAATTTCCTAAAAAAGGTTACTTCACAGGGTATGCAAAATACCTACAATACCTACTGTGAAAATTGGGAGTGGTGATAGGTTTTTACTGATAAATGCTCTCAGATTCTATTCTCAGACTAGTACTTCTGGAATTATATAATTAAAGAGTTAATTACACTAGTACTTGAAGTTATCCTCAGGAGAAAACCTAACATTCATACCTGCAATATTGACTGAAGATATAAAGGCTGAAAGCACTGCTAGGCTTTGGGAAATGTTTTCAGGGAGATAGTGTCCTCCCATCAGCACCAGTCCACCAACTGCAGTCAGACCTGTTTGAAAGAGAAAAAAGTGTTACTGGAAAAGGTTACCATGTAACCTTAAAAGCCTCTATAAGTATAGGAAGTTTCCTTTCAACTGCTGGACAAATACCAGTCAACTCAAATTTTGACTCCTACTTCACACATTAATGCTTGAAGAAGACTACCACGGTCTTTTTCAAGAATACAAACATGTTTCAAAAGGAAAAAAAGGGTATATGAATGTAATTCTGGAGAACAGTGCCTCAAGCACAGAGTTAGCCAAGTACTTGTTCAATAACACAAACTTTGCTTTTAATAACCAAAGTAGAACACTTGCCACCTGCCACATATAGCCAAACACAGATAAATAAAATCTTATTTTTAAGAATTATGCATCATATGAGTATTTAAAGATCTCTTTTCATTTTCCCCCTCTCTCAAGGCACATAGTTTGAGGAGATGAATAAAAGAATGTAAAAAATAGGAAAGGTAAGTTATTTTCAGGGCAATATTTTGAAGACATGGGAGGAAAGATGTGGTCTATGAAAGGAGACTGCAGCCCTGCCAGTAAAACAAACTTTTAAGCAATTAGGTCAAGCATAAAACATTATGAAAATTAAAAGGATCATATTTGCCTTTCTTTTGAAAAAATCATACTCCCAGAAATACAACATTTCAGGTGTCTTTGCTATTTATGAAAGTAAACTCAAATATGCACAGCAACACTAATTCAGGTAAAAGGAGTTGTGCCTCCTTCAAGTAGAAAACAAGCAGCTGTGTGACAGCCACTTACCTGAGATAGCATTAGTGACAGACATTAGTGGGGAGTGCAGAGCAGGAGTCACACCCCACACTGTGTGGTACCCCACTATTCCAGAGAGGCCAAACGTCGTCACCATTTGTGTGAAAGCAGCGTTAGGTGCTACAATGCCCAGCCCTAACATACCAGCTAAACCTAGAAGGAAAAGACAGGAAAACTCTGTAACTTTTCAATGACTTCTTAGATTTAAACTGTATACAACAGGAGCCTAGTACTGACACAAAAGCAAAATGGAGTTCTCTGCACGGACTAGTTTCAAAACCAGTGAGATCATTTTGTCATATACACAAAGTTCTTTCAGCACCAGTGTTTCTTTTGTAACAGAAAGTAAAGCCATAAATATCATACAGATATATTTGTTATGCATTAACACAATGCAGCAGAGATAGGTTTCTACACAAACACTGAATCCTGTCACTCTCCTGTTCTATAGAAAAAAATGTAGAAGTCACAACTATGTTGAGATATTACTTGGAAGTATCAAAGCATATGTATGAAGAGAAGGGATTAAGATTAAGACTACTGAATTCATTAATTACTTAATGCAGAAGTTGTGCTGCAATGACAGTAATAAATGAAATGGAGAGCCAATACTTATTTGTCAAAGCAAATGTCCTATTTCCAATACATAAGTAGATTGTGGCCATTTAAGTCTCACACAATACAGTAAAATCTGAAGAAAGCAAAGACACTGAGCTGATTCTGCTGCAAAGTATAGGCATAGTCCCTGGCAGGAGTTCTTCAGAATTTTAAGCATTTTACTAATATTTAAGTAGAGCCAAACACACATATATGCACAGAGAATGAATCAGCACTTGTTGAAAAGTCAATACTTTTGGTAAAATTTCAGAAGTTTCATTTTCCCTCTCAAGTAATTCTTACACTGCACTGATTTTGCACCAGGATACACCAGCAAATCAAAGGCTCTCCCAGTGTTCAATTGAATGAGTTAGATGATGGGTCATTCAAAGGTATTAGCCAAATGAGAAGTACTCTACACGGATTCTCCAGCAATGGAAGTTGCCCACCTGCTGTGTATACAGATGCAGTAGTCATGGTTTTTCTAAAAGGTGTAATAGTAGCTGCTTTTTCTGCTTCCAGCTCTGCTACAGTCTTCTGCTTCACTGGTGCTCCTTGAGGAATGTTATTTGGTGGAGGTGCTGGGAAAATCACTTTGCCATCCTGACAACAGATATTTATAGTTATGCCTAGCATGGCAGATGCTTAGTACTTAGAAATGCCTTTTCTTCTTAATCCTGCAATTCAGAAAAGTGCTAATATCCTACAGCCATGCCCAGGAACAGGCTCTTTTTCTGCATCAGCACTAGTTTGCAAGGCATGCCCTAGTTAATCATACTGGTTTACACATCCCTCAGACAAGATTTGGTATTGGTGTCCAGGGCACCTGGTGAAGACACAGCACAAGGCTCCAGAGCAGAAATAAGAGAAAAGCAAAGAGATAAAAGTTCCTTAACTGGAAAACATCTATACAAAATAAAACAGTCTTGGAAATAACAAAATCTGCTACAGATGTGAACTGTAATCACAGTTTTTTCAGACCTCAGATAGGAACCAAGGATGATAATCCCACATTTCTTGTTATTCTCCAGGCCTCTGTGGAGCTATCAGCACTGAGTGCACACCACTTCAGTGGTCTGGGAAAGCTGAAGTCTATGCCCTGAGTTTTTATTTTATTATTTTCTGATAAAGCTTAAAGTATTTTTCATATTCTAGTTTCACCATTTTTTTTTTCTTCCTATAAAAGGAAAATTTCTTTTTTAAAAGAAGGATGTTTTTCTGGAAGAATGTTTTGGTCTGGTAAAGCCTCAAATATGTTTTCAATAGCTATGTTTTTAATCACATGGAACATGCAAATTCTATCTTTTTCTAATTTTTCATTAGTAAACACATTAGGTTTAACCTTGACAAGAAGACAAAAAAAAAAAAAAACCAAAACAAAGAGACAGGAATTTTCAGCTGAATAAACACACAGTTTCCCACACACTCTACCAAGCCACCTCTGAAGTCTGTTGACATGCAGTATCTCTGAATGCATTTTGAAGGGACAGAAGTGATACATGTACTCACAAATTAAGAAGATAGTCTTTACTGGCTTACCCTCATTACTACGGTTCCTCTAATAACATGATCCAGAGTCCCATAGTCAAAGTCATCTTTTGGATCAAAGTAGAAATTCTCTTTGTCAGGACTAATGGCCTTTAGAAGTTTGATAATATTATTAGAATACAGGGTACTAGCCTGAGTAGACATTCTGCTAGGCAGATCTGTGTACCCAATGTGTGTAACACCCTGAAAAAAAAATTCAAGTAAAATAATAAGGATTTTTTACATTCTCTGAAAAAGCATCATCCCTTCTAGTACATCCTTCTGGAAATAAATATCCAAACTGTTTCACTTACCTGTTTATAACCCAAACTTAATTTGCTACCTGCAGCTCTGACACTACTGTGTCAGGGACAGATCACTCACAATGGCTACAGAATCCAACATGATTAAATTCTGTTAGCAACAAGACTTCACAGAGAGGAAGATATATTGGTGCTAGAGCATGTCTTCTCAAATCCTACTTTCTCTCAGAACCTAATTTCTTTAAGCAACCAGGTAACAGATTAATCTGCTTTATACTTGGCATCTTCTGTTTTTCTGAAAGGCAAGCACTAGAGACAATTTCTGTATGCCAGTGGAGTGAAGGCAGCTCACTCAGAGCTGTGCAAGTAACAAGTCTGAGTTCATATGTATGTAAGAATGTAACCTAATATAATCTCACTGCTTAAAGAACTAATGAGAACTAGAGGATATCAAGCTTTAGCAAGGAGTGGGAAGTTAAGGCTGGCATACACTCTTAGGTGTTCAAAAGCAGGCTTCTGTTGAAATACAGCTCCCACAACTTACACCTAAAATCCTTGCATGCTTCCAGAACTTTGGCTTCCTAATGCAATGCTCTGGCACAATCCTAATAATGCTGCACCACTGCTATTTTCCATAGCACAGAGCCAGTACACTAAATCCAGGGGTAATATGCCTCTGACTAAAAGTGTTCCATATAAACACTTCATACAAGTATCTGCTCACCTCTCTTTTACATTCTCTAGTTTCAGGTTTTAAGCAATGACATCAAAAGCCCTAGAAAGCCACAAAGACAAATGCAACATGTGATTCTTTGATACATACAAACAGAATTCTGCTTGTGTCAATGACAACCACGGCAGCAGTGTCCTACAGACTTCCCAAATAAAGGTATTATATTGTTGTATTACCAAATTACAGCCTAGGAAATCTGCTACTATAAATCTCATCACCCAGATTTCTGTAATTGTTAACAGACTTCTTATAAGTACCAAAAACAAAAACCAAAAAACAGAAAGACAAGTTCTCAATTGAGCAAATGAACACTGGAGCAAAACCAAAGTTGTTCAGCCAAGACCAAAACTACTTACTTTAATGAACCAATTCATGCTACATCTACTTTGGGTTTCAAGTGCTTTGGCTAATCAATGGGAGATATACTCATATTGTTGAAGATTAAGACAAGCAAACCAGCACCCTCCTGAAGCTGAAATAGTACTGAGTAGGCCAGAGACTTTGTACTGAAGTAAGACACAGAGAGTCTGAACCTGCTTAGCTTTACCTATGACAGGGAATGTTAACCTCCAGTCATGGGAGGTGGTAAGCAAGTCAAAGAACCTATTGCTACTGCTATATTTTTTAGACAGACTGAGAAACAGATATCAAATCTGACTTTCAACTCAGAAGAGACAAACACTGGACTTGGAAGTTTAAGTAGCAAGAATTCTGTAATACCCATTAACAACCAAATTAACACTCTACAAAAGTGTTATCTTCTTTAAAAATATTCAAATTGATGTATATAAATAGTGACCAAATGCAAATCTAAAGGATTACTTCACCCAAAGCAGCTGAAAGACTGTTGAAAAATTCAGCTGCTCATTTTCAGCATACAGTTTACAAAACAACATGGAAGTACAGGTAAACTGAGAATGAACTGCAGATTAAAATGCTCACCTTATGAACATACATTTCTCCAGGCTTTGTAGTCTCAATATTTCCCCCTGCTTCTGCAGCTAAATCCACAACAACGGAACCTTCCTTCATTGATTCAATCATATCTCTCTTAAACAAGATTGGAGCTTTTTTGCCTGACAAAACAAGGCATAGGAAGTTAAACACAAAATACAGCTTTCTATCTGTTGAGCTTAGGAGATGACTACTCCTCTTTGCTCTACATATAAGCTTTAATTTTGTAAGCAAAATTTTTACCAGGGACAAAAAAAAAAATCACAAAAGTTTTTTTTTACAAAGACAAAAGAGGTGCTGGAACATCCTGCTCCAAAAGGATACAAGAAAGCTATGCACGGTAGTCTGCCAAAGATAAGTCAAATTCTGCCAGTAAATTGACAGTTTTAACATCCAATCTTACAATTCCAGTCAAAACAAAAAACAAAAAAAAAAAAAACCCAAAAAAACCCACAAAAAACCAAACAAAAAAGAAACAAAAACCAAAACCAAAAAAAAATACCCCACCACATTGTGAGTTATTAAAATACAACATATTGTGCAACACAAAGCACTAAAATCTAAGCTCTTTCTTACTAGGTTTCAATTGCAAAGGAGAGTACCAGTTCAATTAGACTTGTTCCAGTGCACAAGATGTATAGCAGAAGTAGCAGTGAAGCAATAGATAAGCAAGAGAATTATAAATTCTTACTTTATTACTACCTACTCCTTTTTTTAGTAAGAAAAACATGATGGTATTTGAGTTATATTGATAGTCTTCGAAAACAAAAGTTGTTTAAAAAAACAAAAGGACACACTTTAAAACCAGACCTTTATCACAGAAGTGTAAAGGTACATGCTCCCACATCATAATTCACTAACCCCTCAGTTTTTATGCAGATACAACTTCAAAATATGACAACTTAACTAGAAAAATGAAAAGTAGCATTTTTCACATAAAACATACCTGGAATAAGTGCTGTAGTGATGATAATGTCAACATCTTGGCATTGTTTGGCAAAGAGTTTCATTTCAGCTTCAATAAATTCTTTGGACATTTCTTTAGCATAACCACCTTGTCCCTCCCCAGATTCCTTTAAGTCTACTTCCAAAGGCTCAGCACCAAGAGACTTGAACTGTTCCAAAGCTGCAGCTCTAGAAAAAGAAAATTATAGGTGAGAGAAAAAACACTACTTTAAAAATACATCATGACTTTACCAGTGGTTTTAGTAGCTATCTTCAGACAAGAGATGTAAAACTTACTCTAATATTAAAGAGACCATAATCAAAGCCCTCAGCTTTCTGTATTCAGTGCAAAAAATAATTTAATTGATAAATTTAGGTTCCAGACATACTTGAATAAGGAATGAAGGTAGCCTATGGTTTCCAGTATTGTCAGCAGAGTTGCTCTAAGAAAAGCCTCAAAGCTGAGGCTTTGGTGATTAACTCTCCTCATGCATTTCTGCTGTCATGACTTGGTAAATCTACAGCCCAATCTAAGGTGCTGAAAATGGGAGATAAGCACAGAACCTGGGACCTTTTAAAATTAATAAAAAATGAAGAACTGATGATGGCATAAAAATGGCAGGAATTGAATTATGACTCAGTGCAGCACAAATTATTTCACTGTAATACAGCCACAAACAACTTAAAGTAATTTCAGATTGATATTACAATTTTCACACCCTTACCTAGTATCAAATCCACGAACCACTGCACCCATTGATTTTGCTGCTCCTGCAGAAGCCAGGCCAGCAACCCCTCCTCCAATGATCAGTACCTAGAATGATAAGTCTCATTAACCAGCCATTTAAATAAGATACCTTAGGATAAAACCAAATTTGCTTTAGCAGATACCCCCTTACATCAAACAGCTTAAAAGCTGTAACTCCTAATTACATATATCTAAGAGCCAGTTCTTCTGTAGCTAATAATTTATCTAAGAAAACACAGGTGTTCTCCTTGATTTATTTTCCTTTTTTCCTGCTCTAATTCTACTTTAATTTCTCTTCAACCCAATCCACCTGTAATTCCAATTAAGTAAGCCCTTCTGCTGCATTCCTCAATGCACCAGAAATACCAATATCTGAATTTTCTTAACTGCTTCCTTACCTTCTCCTATTTTGAAAAAAAATAAATAAACCCAACCCCATATAGCTAATCTGATGTTTAAAACTAAGTAAACTTAAATAAAACTGAAGTTATTCTATTATTCCCAAAACAAAACCAGAACAGATGTGGACAAAAAGTTGTATGAGAATAGTTATAGTGATTTCTAAGGTCTCTAGAAAAAGTCAAAAGGCAGGAAAAAGTCTTTCAACATAGTTTCAGCAACAACTACCTCTGCTCAAAAATTAACATATTCTTTTGCCACAGCATGTGTTTAATTGCACATACCTTTGCTGGAGGAACTTTACCAGCAGCTGTGATTTGACCCGTGAAAAATCGACCAAAGTGATTTGCTGCCAGGACCACAGCCTTGTAACTGTCAATCAAGGATGAAAACATATCAGTGTTTTCTCAGATTCAGTAAAATTCCATTAATTACATCAATCTAAAAGATGAACATTTAACCAGAGCACGCATAAGATAAAGCAAGCTTAGTATTTCACCACTGAAAACAAGCTTAATAATCTTTGTTCATACTTCTTGCCATATGTTTTTTGATTTTTTTTAAACCATGGAATGCATTTTAACACATAATTTTTGGACTGCAGTATACTGGATGTCTAAAACTAATCATTCTCACAAATAAAATTTTACCTGAAAAACAAATGTATAACTTGACAAAAGTTAACTCTGTGGTCCTTAAAACTACCTTCCAAGGCTATAACCTGAGGGTCATTATGGACGGGAGCATGAACAAGTAATTACAAAACCCAGAGCAACTCTGCAGTTGGCCCACTTAGGCCAGCAAGGGCACATTCAAGAAAGGTACTCTGACCCAAACTTCACAGAGCTATATGGCTTAGGACAAATAGCTTAACCTTGCTACTTCATTTGCCCCAGCCAAGAACTGGTAGCTGGACACCAAGTTAACACCAGTAGAGCTACCTGAAAATAAAGATTAATGTGTAATTTCATATTTTCTTAACAACAGGGCACATTTTCTTGCATTTTTATTAACAGTGTTGTGGTTCAACGGTCCCATTCCACTCTTTTTCCTATCTCTAGCAGAGAGATATAGAGGTCTGTATGCCATAAAAGTAGCTCAAATTTGGAATATACTTTGTATATTTTTTATCTTCAAATATATTATAATTTCTGTGTTGTATAGAATCACACCAAATGAAAACATGGGGAATAAGTTAACATGTGAATGGATGTACACTGTTTGTGTGCACAAAATCTGGCAGCCTTTGCAATGGTTTATGCCTCAGACATCATCTAAGTAAAAAGTAAAAAAAATAATAACTTTAAAGAAAAAAAATAAACCAATTAAAGAAATGTGGTATAACAACATTTTAATTCACTGCAATACCTAAAATTCTAGTTGCAAAACATGGAGATGGTCTGACAATATTTGATCTTTTGTTTGTAACTGCCACTGCAATTGCAATCACACTGAGTGTTGTTTGGGTTAGTTAGGTCCTAGCAACACCAGATCCCCATGACAGACAATCTGTGCTCAAGATAACCTAGTTCAGCACAAAAAGGTAGTAGACAAAACAGTCAAGGAATTGGAAAAATTGTGTTCAGTTTTGTTTATTTAAAAGCATTGCTCTGATCTGCTGTAAAGCTAACCATAAGAAACTTTAACACCACCCTGCTTGAAACAGCTCTGCATGAAAACAGAGATGTAGAATCATTTTAGATGTACCTAATATCAAAGCACATGATTTTAAACCAGCTATACTTAGTGAAGCAATAAAAAACAAAATAAACCCATACCCAGCAATGTTGGCCATGGAGCTAAGTGCATCATATCCCTGAGCAATGGTGACCCGTGGAACCTGATCCATAGCCAAGACAGTAGCTTTTTTTTCTGCAAGTTTTTTCAGGAGGTCTGGATTTTGTGCTGGGTAGATAAAACTAATCAGGGTTGCTGCTGTCTTGAAAAGATCTGCCTCATGTACACCTAGAGATGAGTTATACATAGGAGCTCTCACCTGAAAAAAGACAGAAATTTCCAAGTTAATCAGAGGGAAGAAATCAGAACACATTTCACTTCCTTTCTCCCAGGCTGCAGTCTGTCCATTCCCATCCAGAAAGTACAGAAGGGAGAAAGTATATCAAAAGATATTTACACAAATGAACTGAGTAACTGCACTTCTCAGCTGCAGCCAACATCATGGAATTGGCACTACGTGGATTGGTGACAAGGCAAAAATTGTCAGCACACACCTTCAGAAAAATCTGATGACTTCTAATTAGCATCTCCTGCTTTTACAACAGACAGCTACCCTCAAACCCACCATTTTTAAGCAAAATGATTACTCAACAGATATGACAATTAAGCTCTACAAACTAAGAACCACCAATCAGGTCGTAGTGCATGACTACATACAGGGTATTTCATGGCAGATGTCCAGCAGACACTGATCTACATTCATCTACATTCACTTCTGAGTTTCTCACTTTTCTCCAAAGAGAAACCTACTTAAAAGGGTTGTTCAAAAAGCAGCTCACAGAAATTCTATGCTCAATGGGATAATTTTAAACAGAACAACTGAAGGAAGCCACAATAAGGTAAAGGTCTTTTTCTTTTTTTTTTCCCCTTCAGGACTCTGCACAGCCTAAGACCTCTCAAGTAAGATTGCTGTTTTCTCCAATTTTTAAACACACTTTTGCTGTGTTTGAATTCAGAAAAGTTACAGAATCATATTTTCAAAATCCCAAACCACTCTATTTAAAAGAATAACTAGAGTTATATGTTACCAATTTTGGATAAAAGATTTCTTAGAGCAGGAATCTCATCTGATTAGATTCCAGAACTAGTCTACCTCACTCCAGGAAAAACAACTCTTAGGTAGTTAAAAACTCTCTAAGAAATTACCCACATTTTTTTTTCAACACTGTCATTTATGATTTTTTTTAGTGTAGGTGCACACAGAGCTACCAAAAAAATTACAAAACTTGAATTAGAACTCAAAACGGAAAACACTAATTTAAAGGACCTTATTTACTGAATTTTCCACAGATTATTAGGAAAAAAAAAATACCTATACATTTCTCCAAGAACTATGTAATAGGAAATATACTAATAAAGCAATTACTTTCACAATCAAATCAGAAGCCAGGACTTCCTTGGTCCCCTGGATCTTTGCTCCAACTTCTCTGTAATGATCATCAGAAAATCTGGAAGCTTCTCCAGCACCAGATTCCACCACAACATTGAAGCCTTGCTTAACCAAGGCTTGAACTCCAGCTGGTGACAGAGCCACTCTCTTCTCATTCTCAAATATCTCCTTGGGGACACCTACAGTCAGCTGCTTATAAGGAATTCCTGTAAGAGTGGCAGAAAAGACAGCATTAATTTTACTAAACACTAATTCATTGATATAAGGGATACTCTTCAATGTTGTACAGACACATGCAGACACATGTCACAGTTAGAAATTCTCCCTCCTAAGGGAAGAGGAAGCAGAATGCTATTTTCTAGGAACCTCATTTACATTTCCTTAAATTACACCATCTTCCTAGAGAACCTTGTTCTCTCAGCAATCAGCAGGTGAGCACAATCAGCCACACAAGCAATAACAAGTGTTTGGTGCAGTTCATACCCATTGGCATTTACAGAGTTCCAACTGTATAACTGGCATTCTGATTTACACAATACCTGGTGTACCGGTGATAACAGATTCTGCCTCAGGCCAGAATTTAAATCGCTTCCTAGTTGCTTCCAGGTTATTGTGAAGAAAGAAATAAATGAGCTTGAACAGTGGAACTGCATTTTAACTGAATACATTTGTAATGTATATCAAATTACAACTGTAATATACATTACAATGTGTAATATATATCAAATTATACCAAATCACTATTACTGAATGCAACATATGCACCAGAAAGCACACTGAAAGGCATAACTACATCAATGAGCTACCCTTAAAGTTGCCACAGAAATGAAAAATGTGAATTCAAAAGTAGTTGAAGAATAATGGAATATCCAGCTACTAGTTTCTTTGAAAATATTTCTCTTCAAAGTTATTTCCTTGTCCTAACTTGTTCAAAGCTCCACTGAGTAACACTGGGAAACTGCTGAAGCAGAAATTTGGGGTTTACTTAAAGTTTTCAAATTACAAACATCAAATTTCACTTGAGTACAATTTGGGGGCTTTCAGTCTCATATCTGTGAGATAAACTTCTCTGATCCAAACAAGTGTTTAAATACATTATTTATGAATACACAGGCTCAAGCAGAATAATCATACATGAAACTATTACACTGCTTCAATTACACTGACAGCATGCAGTCCAGGCTAGGCATAGGCTGAATCCTGTACCAGCTTTCACTGACATCTATCCAGAATTTAAGCCTGGATTGTGGCATTACTATGCAAGACATTTACACCACATGAATATTAATAAACTATAATTTGAGCAGTCTAAGCGGTCACTCATATTAATGATCAAACAACAACAACAAAACCCACCAAAGAAACCCTAAACCTAAAAAAGGAGAGGAAGAGGACGACAGGCTTGTTTAAAATCACAAATCTCTTTTTAGATTGTCCAACAATACTATGTATTATGATACAAAATATTGTAATAGGCAAAGAATGCAAATTTTAAGAAGGCCTCCTTGTGACTTTGAGATGAAAACATGCAAAAAAAGCTAAAAACAAACTACAGTATAACAGCTTTGAGGAAATAGATTCAGATTTAAAATATAAAAATAAATTATCTATGAAATTGAAGCTGGACTACAATGTGCTTAAAGTTGACAATCTGAAAATGTTTTGGTTAGAAACTGTCAACATACTATGTTCTGAAAAAACAGTGCAGAGTTGCTAAGAACTGGTACTTAAATACCTACTTATACCTCTCAGCCTACTAACTCTTTAAAAAAAAATCAATACATCCAAAAACACAAATTGAAAGCCCACCAGAAAAAAGAAGTTCATTATTTCTAGTTGCTGCAGTAGGAGAGGTTGTACTGAGCCATTAGACACCAGGAAGAAGTTCTTCACTGAAAGGATGGTTAAGCACTGGAATAGGTTGCTAAAGGGAAGTGGTCAAGTCACCATCCCTGGAAGTGCTCAAGAAATAACTGGATGTGGCACGTAGTGCTATGATTAGTTGACAAAGTGGAGTCCACTCAAAGGTTGGATGTGATCTTAGAGGTCTTCTCCAAACTTAATGAGTCTATGATTCTAATTACTTTTACTTTTTCTTTTTTTTTAATTTTAGCTTTGTCTTTGAAATTTGACTAATAAAATAGCGTCAAATAATTTGAAGATAGAAGTGTTTTGATGTTTTATATGGTGGAGAACATTTGAAATCTTTTAATCACAAGACAACACTCAAATTCAGAAAGACATACATTCATAGAACAAAGTCACAACAGAAGCAAAAATGCACATCTGAAATAACAGATCCACAAAGGTAACAGAGCTTTGCAATGATTTGCTCCACCAGCATACACCAAATCTAAACATCACCGTGCAGCTCAGGCCATACCTACCACAGCAGCACTAACCACTTGTTACCAGCTGTGGTAACTGTTGCTGTCACTCAAATTACCCTTGTCATTTGAAGAGACTTTTCTCCTCATCTCTTCTAATTACTACACAATAAAGTTCTGCTTCTGATTTTCACTAAATCAACTCGGTGGAAATGAGCTCTCTTGTCTTTCAGAAGCAGGAATGAAACCTAGAAGATTGAAATTTGTTAGGATAACAAAAACCAATCAGAATTTCAGAGAGGAAAAAGCTCTAGGGTAGGATAGTATGCAAAAAGTTTCAAAAAGCACTGAGTAAACAACCTTCCCTTTCTCCTTTTGGAAATTTCTGTGGCACAAGAATGATGAAAGGGAGGAAAGGAGGGGGAAAACATGGGTGAAATAGGGGAAGGGAAAAATAAGGGGAAAAAGGGGAAGAAAGGGAAGGGAAAGGAGGAGCAAATGGGGGAAGGAATAAATTATAGCATAAAGGAAATAGATAACTGCAAATTTAAAGGCACAAATACATTTGACTAAAGCCTTTCTTTTTCTCAAGCAAATCTTCTTTTAGCTCCTAAGCCTCTAATGACAACAGATGATTCTCATTTCCATTTGCTCATTTGCTGCTGTGTGGAGTATCAGAATAGAAAAATAAATGGCTAGCAGTAACAGGACACAAATATACACTCACTACATGCCAAACGTGTTTCCTCATTCCTCACTTCTTTGTTTATTGGTACATCTTACACACAATAAAAATTAGTACAACTTTTTCAGATGTAAAATATCTGCACCTTATTTAGTAAACAGAATGAGCACAGATCAGCACTGAGGAACATGCTCTTCTCCAGAGCTTTGGGAGATCAAATCCAAGATAAATACTCAACAAGCCTCATTTGCCTTACCTACTTTTCTTCAGTTTCCCACTGTACCAGAACTCTAGTAACCCATAAATACAAAAGCAAATTAATACATATGCAAACTGTCAGTTTGCCAGCTTTTACCTAGAGAAGATATAGGACATTTTTCAAGTAGACTGCCCTGAGCTTCCACATGATTCAGCACCAAAATGGAGCAGGTATCTACAGCTTAAAAACAAAGATCTATCTTGGAGTGCAGCACAGATCTTGGGAAGAAAGGGTTAAAAAGCAGAACACTAGCAAGGAGGATTGCAAAGCTCCCTTTCAGCTGGAAATAACTCTTGATAAGCCTAAGTGAACAGCAGGTCTGTGATGATTTACTGGTGCCTGTTTCTCCACTTGTTTTCCTCTGCCCGGGTCCTGCTTCAGCAATACCCCATTAGTGAAGTAATGGAAATAAATTTACCCTTTGGATTCTAGACATGAGTTTGTGTCTTCCCAGCTGCCTGTTTGCACTGATACACACAATTGGTACTCTGGCTGGAGGAACTTTGCAATTAACACAGATTTGGTTTGTTGAATTCAGCAATTTCATCAAAGTCAATAGTTTCAAAAGGCTGAAACCTAGGATTATATTTAGGACCTTGATTTAAGTTTTATTTTGAGGAAGCTCGTCTGCTATTCTTGCTAGGAGTTTAAAGTTACATGAGAGTGTGAAGCCTACAAGTTGTCTCTCTAATCCTTCATGTCAGATAATCTCTTTAAGAACTGCCTTGAGTATGTTTTAGTGACTAACTGCTTTACAACATCATGGACATCTTCCAAATACTGACTGATATACACATACCCAAAGCACTTTTTCCAGTCATGAAGTTTCTTAATATACTGAGTAGAAGAAACACAGTACTTGGATTCTGCCACTATCAGAAGTAAAATCATTAAATTTCACAGGTCTTAAAATGGAGTGTACATTCCTGTGAAATGCAGTAGCATATACCTAACTTAGAACTTTGAAAAACTAGTAAGAAGCCACACTCTCATTTCCTTACCATAATCCTAACTGTGCAATGAAGACATATTCAAATTTCAGGTAAACAAAACTACGACAGTGACTTTCTCCATGTAATTTCTATCTACAAGAATCTTAGAGACAATCTAATTGAAAACTATAGCAGAAAATACAGGTTTTTGATCTCCTTAACCTGACTTTGGAAAGTAGTCTGCAACAAAATAGTATCAACCAATAGAGACTGACTTAAGGAAAAGGAGTTTTGACTATGTGCCACATGTTCTGGGATTGAAAACAGGATGCCTATTTTTTATGTTACACTAATAACCTTTAAACAAACCATCTCACCTGTTCTGAAGATGAGGACATATTCCGAAGAACAGCAATATGATGTTGGCAAAAAGAAAAAAAAAAAAAATGGTACAGAAGATTAAATGAACACCTGATCCCTCCTATTACATAAATAAGGAATTAAAAAAAAAAAGGAAATTAAAGGAGCATATTTTTTGTTTATAAATAAAATAAAGCTTACCTAGAGAACTAATTGAAAATTAACTGTTCCAGGTTTAGAAAAAAACCAGGAAATTTTAAGAAATAAGCACCAAAATAAAAAGGATTTTTAAAATCCCGAAACAGAGAGGGGTTAAAGTAACAGAGTTGTAGGACAAACTAGTCTGGAAGTATACTGGGAAGGTCAGAGTCAGTCACTCCATATGCACTTTTCCCAGGGCTTCAGAAAGTTTTGATTCTGTTTCTGAAGCACAGGTCCTAGTGACTATCTGGCACAAATTATTTTACTTCTGTGTGAAAGTTGCTATGTTTCCAGTAAGCAAGCAGCAGAATAATACCTGGCAGTAAGAAAATTATCCATGCTCCAGACTTACTTTTCAGCTGACTCTGTATCTCCGTATTTCTTCTCCTTAAGCTGCTATTGCTTTTGTATATAACATAGCCTAGATTGAATGCAAGCTAATCTGAGACAAGGAAAGTAATGACTACAGCTTTAAGAAGAATCACTGTGACACTAGCCTTCTCAGAAAACTTACTCTTCTTAGTGCTACAGTGATTTTACCAAGTATTACTATAATCAAAGCTAATTTCTGAAAGAAAAAAACACAGTTATTCTGTATCTGTTACATTTTGATTCAAGAGCACTTAGAAAGTAAATACAAGCAATAGCCCTGTTTCTAATTTGTCATTAAATTACTGTTTTTTCCTTGATTTGTCCTCTACTGAATGACAAATCACGTTACCAAAGTGTACTACAAGGAAAGCTTAATTATCAACCAAGACTACCAAACTTGTAATGCTCCATATTAAATAAATGCATTTCATGAACACTACTAATCCTTAAATACATTCACACAACAGGAAGGGGCAACAATGAACATTTAAACAGAAGACACTAATCAGAATCCTCCATCTTTGTAGGAAAATTTTCCAAGTTATTCTTAAAAATGAGAAAATTCAGACACAGAGTAGTATACCAGTTTCAGTAAAATAGAAGAGATTCTACAGTTTCATGATGAAATTTGTGGTCAAAGTCAAATACAAAACTGATTCCAAACTCAAATGAGGACACTTACCTGGGATATTTCAGAAAGAACTTTGAACCTAGTTTCCTATGTTGCAGTTTACGCTCCCAACCAAGGGACAATCTGCCATATGAAGACTGACAGATATCTCATTCATTCAGATATTTAACATGGAAAAAAAATTGAGACTATCTCAAATCTATGAAAGAAATTCTGGTTTCACCAAACAACTATGACAGAGATTTATCAGGAGCCCTCAAAGTAAAGAAACTTCCTCTCATGACATTTCTTCAGAAGTTCCAAAATCTTCAGTCACCAAGTTGAAAGGACCACAAAATGCACCATTCCTTGTTAGTACTGCAACAAATTCTATGCAACACAGGCTTCTCAGAGATACTACATGCTACTTTTGTGTCCCATGTTTTCACAACCAGACACTTCTGTTTCCAACAGCACTAGTTTCCTAATACTCTCAAGTATCTAATGCAGTTACCTACTGTCTACATTTGGAAGAACCAGACACCATGTGTGCAATCAGCCCATCTCTCCACATTAATCTTTTGCAGGCTAAGATCCTACATCTGCAGAGAAGCAGGGTCTCTAAATTCCAAGGGAGACATGACCTATGCAGTAATAATGGGCAAAAATATTGTTAAACCTGCATTAAGTATTCTTCAGTCTTCCAACTGTCACGTTATGTACAGCATGGAATAGAGAAAAAAATTATCAGTTCCATTCTTCATATACCAGGTTCATGTTAGAAACTGGAAATAAGGGTGGCCCCTTTCCCAGTTTTTTTCTCCTGGAAATACCTGAACTTGTCCATTATCTGCTGAAATGCGATTTGTGCAAATGCACTAACAAACACACGAAGATACAGATCAATAGTTTTTCAAAGTGATACGATGAAGTGTTTCCTAAACAAAGTCATGAGATTTTTTTTAGATGAGATGATAATGCCTACATATCCTCATGCTAGCAGATGCTGTCTTTGTGAGGTCTGTACTTTCTCTCACATACACACAAAGAGCTGCACTACCAAAACTACCAAAATTAATGGGAACTCAGGCTTTTAACTAAGCAAAGCATTTACTTAAATACCTTCAAGTAAGGAAAGTATTAGCAGGAGCTCAGACCATGTAACCACAAAAACTGTGTGGGTCCAAAGTGTTCATAATTAACACAAACACCTTCTGCATAAGCCCTATAAAGCCAGTCTAAAATTGTGCTGCAACTGACTCAAGTATTCTGTTGATATGATTTAAAAGTGTTCTTTCTATTTTAAGTCATTTCTGTACTAAGGCAGATCTGAAAGAAAGAAAAAAAGAAACAATTTATATTCATGTTTTAAAATAACATATTATTTACAGTACTTTCATCAATTTACCTGGCTTTGGAGCTGCCTGAGACCCAAGCACCTGGTGGGTTCTAAACATTCGCAAGCACGGCATCTTTGCGGAACACACCTTCGGTGGGAGCACATTGCCAAAAACAGGAGCTGAGCACCCACTGACAGCAACACGCAAAAGGCTCGCCATCGCAACTTCAGAACAAATTCCTTGCCACGTATGGAATCCCTACAGCAAACGTGAAAACAAATCAAGAGTTATTAATGACACTGGACAGAAGGCATGTAAACGCAGCAGGTTTAGGACAAGTCAACTGCCAGTAGCCACGAGACAATCATTCCTCACCACCTTTACCTTTCTGGCTAGAAAACAGTATCATTTTTTTTTTTTCCAAATTAAATAAAATAGCTCTTAATCAAAAGCAACTGGCATGACCAGATGATGTAGGGATCGCACTTCTGCGACTCAAGGCCATTTTCTCTTTACACCATTGCTTTAAAACAGGAACTGTGGTACGGGAAACCGCGGGGCCCCAAGGCACCAAACAAACTACTCCAATCCCTGCCATAGCTGCCTCAGGAGTCGCCCTGGGTGGGACACAGCTTGCAGGCGCCCGGGAGGCTCAGCAGAACAGGCACTCGTGGAGGAACACAGCGGGCAGGGGAGCCGAGAATGCGCTCTTCGCCCGGAATCCCGCCGGGCCCCCGCGGCCCCTTCTCTTTCCCGTCGCTATTTATAGCCCGCGGCCACCGAATGACCTTGGGCGGGCGGCTCGTCCCCTGCCACGCACTGTCCCCGCTCGGGGGACGCTCCGCAGCCGCCACCTCCGCGCTCCCGGCTCCCGCGGGCCCCTTCCCGGGCTACCTGCCTCCTCCCGCGCGTCCATCCTGCCACGCTCCCTCCCTCCCCCCAACAGCGGGACACCGCTGCCTTCTCCCCACCAGCGGCTGGCTCCCGCACGCACCGGGAGAACGAGGCGGTGCCGGCGCAGCCCCACAGGACGCGGCGCACGCGCCCCGCACAGAGCCCCGCACACGCTCCTCCCGCAGCCCCGCACCGAGTCCGCACAATCCCGCACACGCCCCACAGGGGGCCCCGCACACGCCCCACAGGGGGCCCCGCACACGCCCCACAGGGAGCCCCGCACACCACTCCGCACGCGCCCCAGAGGGAGCTCCGCACACGCACCGCCGCAGCCCCACACGACGCCGCGCTCCCGCCCGCGGTGCCGCCGCCGCGGCTCCGACCGACCTCTGGGCGGGGCGGGGGCAGGTCCGCGCCCGCCAACCCGGAAGGACTGAGGGGCACGCGGGGGTCGGGCGGCCGCGTCACGCGGCGTCTGAGGGGCGGCGGCGCGGGGTGGCCGTGGTTCTGGCGAGTCCGCGGCGCCGGCAGCGGCAGAGCGGGATAACCGCGCCGAACCGCCCGTGACTGGTCGCGGCGGAGAGGCGAAGATCGGGGCTGGCCAGGAGACGTGCTGAAACGCGCGTGTTGGACTTGGGGCTAACGCCATAGCACGTAGGTGGTGTCCTCTTCATTATTTTTACTTCTTAAAATGCCTGAAAAAGCAGCGGGGTGTCGGAGTGGTAGGTGCAGTACGAGAACAGAAAATGGGGAGCTGTGTCAACTTTGGATATTAGGAGGAATTTCTTCACAGAAAGGGCGATTAGATCTTGGAAGGGGCTGCCCGGGGAGGTGGTGGAGTCACCGTCCCTGGTGGTGTTTAAGGAAAAGCTGGACATGGCACTCAGTGCCATGGTCTGGTTGTCGTGGTAATGTTCGGTCATAGGCTGGACTCGATCTCAGCGGTCTTTTCCAACTTAATCGATTCTGTGCTTCTGCGATTCTATAGCTGTTGAAATATTACATAGCTGGATGAAGAGCACATGGGGTTGGAGAAGCAGTTCCAGGGGACCGCCAGCCACGCTGCCCATTGCCCCAGTATATTGTCTTTGCATGATCCTGCATATGTTGTCTTACTTCAAACGATCTGTGGGTTCCATGTATGAGTTAGGCGTATTTTGATTTAGCTTTTTTAATTTCCTTAAGTCTGTGTAGCTGCTCATGCAAACTGCATATTGCTGGAGGTGTCATACAGCTTCCAGACTTCTAAATGGTGACTTAGCAAGCAAAGTTACGCACTGAGAACATGAAAGTTACCCTGAGAGTAAGTAATAGGATACTCTACGACTAAGTGTTCATTACTGTGCTTTTAAATAAGCATGTGTGAGGTCTGCAGAGCTTTAGAGCTACAGATTATACCTGTGCTTTGTGTTTTGGGCTCAATAACCATTGACTCCTACAACAGCATGCCTCATCAGTATGGTAGCGATTGGAATAATTCCAGCTATTAACAATAAATTACACTTGAAAAGCTAGAATCAGCCCTCTCCTTTTCCCTAATTAGAAATATGTTATCAGCATAAAAAACAAAAAATAGAGCATGTAAAAATGCCTGTGTTCTGAGTAGTGATAAGGTTACAATGTGTGATTTCTCGGTGCCAGGCGCTGAAGATGTGTATAGATTTGGTTCTGAACTAAGATTTGGATTATTAGTTAAGACATTTAGGGCAAAGCAGGTATTTCCTTGTGGCTGCCTAGAAGTGTTCAAAGTTGTATTCGGTGAAAGTTTTAATCCAGTCATTAGGTACTTAGGATAGGTTTGCCTAGTTTAGCGATCTCAGGACTTCTGCTGTGTGGTCTCAGAGGCTTGAAGTAATTCACAGCTAGTCAGGCCAAAACATTCTACGCATAATGTTAAGCAGTCTAAAGGGGTGTACTGTTGTAGGTAATATTCAGGGGTCATTTTGGAATTAACTACCCAATTATTTTTCTGGTTTTAGCTGTCTATACTAGGGAGAGGAAATTGGGTTCCCAAGCAAACACGACTGGGTTCATGCAAACTTAAGTAGTGCATCTGTAAGAAAAATATGGACTTGGGACCACATTCCACTTTAAATGGTAAGTAGCTACCGAACAGTCATTAAATTAAATACAAAATGTCTGCTATGTGAAAAGAGTTCACATTTATGTCCAAAGGTGAAAACTTCTTGCTCAAGAACTTAAGACATTAAGTTATATACATAAGGTGTATACTTTAAAGAATGAGATTTGCTAACTTGAAAGATTGGTATATTCAAAAGTGATCCCAGTATATAATGATGGAGAATTTAATTTTTCATCTTCACATTAATGTAAGCTTTTCATTCTCCTCCTGGTAAGGCAAAGTCTACAGATGTGGACAGAGGTGACAATATACGCATTAAAACTGGAGCTGAAATAATACAAGAACACTGAATATTTTTAATGTAGAAATTTAGTAGCTAATTTGTGATCTTTAAAGAATTGATAATACTGCTTAAATTAGTTTTAACAGTGGTTTACACAAATAAGGTATTACAATTTTTTTAAGACTCATTCAAAACATCCTGCATCGGCTCTCATTCCAGTTGCAGACTATAGATTTATTAGTTTACCATTCTGTATTTCCAGAGGGGTTGCCTAGGAACAGTTTCCCCATGAACCTCATTAATTTTAACTTGTGACACCTTTAATGTCTGGCCACCTTTTTATCTCACCAAAAATCAGTCCCAATTCAAGCCTTGAGGAAATAACAAATATTTTATACCCTGCCTCTCCCCTGTTAATAATTGAAAATGGTAACATGTTATAATAAACCCAATAGGAACTTGACTTCTAAAGGCACCATTTTAAAAAAATCCAATTGGACTTTTTTTTAATACAAGACAGAGCTATTCTGATTTTTTTAGTAATGTTTCATCCATAGTTGCCTATTTTTTTCACCCCCTTCATGAATGGTGAACAGAGTTTGACCCAATGCCACACAATGTTTTGATTTCGTCTGTGGCAGGGCAGCACAGATTAGACTGTTCAGGGAGACAAAATATAAACTCCCTCAGCAGGATCAGCTGGGGTATATTTGTGGTGTACCAGATCACACTTCTTCGCCTTATCTTGAAAGCTGATTGTGGTACCAGGTTTTCAAAACAAGTAGAGCAAGACTTTGGGCTGAAATTGAAGAAGAATAGATGAATTAAATTGTAAATGAACATGTGAGTTGAACCACTCACTGTTTATGTGATAATATTAGGAAAAATGCATTACATGAACCATATTCTTCAGTTGGTTCCCACTGGCATGGAAAGTCCTTGTTAAACATTAAATCAGAAGAACATTTGTGACCTCATCATGTGTAAGTTATACATGAAAATATATTGTACTGAGCGAACATATTTTTATTAAGTAGCCATAACCGTACAATAATATGGTCTAGTTTGAGGCTTAACTTTATGGGGTTAAATTTAGAATTTCGCCTGCAGCTTTTCCATCCTTTTCTGGTGGAAACAGCTGTGTATGCACAGCGTGGTGTGATGCACCTGTGGCTGCAGGTCTCCCATTGTAGCTGAAACCTTGGCTCTGCCACGGTCACCTCGCCCCGCTCGTTACCGTGGAGATGCAGTCGCAGGGAATACGGTGGCTTTGGAAACGCCGTCTCCAGGCTGCGGCGGGCTCGGGGCGGGCGCGGCCATCGCGACGCTGCGCGGGGGTGAAACCGAAAGTGCGGGGCCGGGGCGGGCCCGCGCTCCCCCCGCCCCGGCTCCGCTCCGCTCCTCCCTCCCATGAGCGCCCGAGCCTCCCGGCCTCAGCATGTCGGAGAGTTTCAACCGAACGCCGGGTGCCGGCCGGGGCCGCGGGTGCGGCGCGCCGGAGAGCGGCGGCGGGGCCCGCCCCGCGGGCTGTGCGTCCCGCAGTTCGGGCTCGGCCGAGGAGGAGCACCACCAGCCGGGCGGCCTCTTCCCGCAGCAGGAACCATTGCGGCCTCCGAAGACGGCGCCCCTGGGCACCGGGATGGCAGGTACGGGCTGCTCTCCCCGCTCTTTCTTTACGCGGGGCACCTGCGCGGCTCCCCGCGGCGCCGCAGGGTCACCGGCATCTGCCCTCGGGAGCGTGGTCCTGTTCCCGGGAGTGCGATGCGTGCACCGCGCTGAGGCCGGGTCAGCGTGGTGAGCTCTGGGGGCTGGCGGACACCAGGGTGACAAGAGGGGTGAGAGGGAGAAAACCAGAGAGAATCATGTGATGCACGGTGTAGTCGCTCACCACCTGCTGACCGATGCCCAGCCTGTCCCCCAGCAACAATTGACAACTCCTGGCCAACTCCCCTCCAGTTTATATACTGAACGTCACATTCTCTTGTATGGATTATCCCTTTGGCCAGTTCGGGTCAGCTGTCTGGTCTTTGCTGCCTTCTTGCTTCTTGTCCATCTGCTCGCCATCAGAGCATGGGAAACGTGTGTTATTGACACTTGCCTCATACTGGATCCAAAACATAGTGCTATACCAGCTAGCAAGAAAATTTACTCTGTCCCAGCTGAAATCAGCATACGGGGTTACAGACCTGGACCAGGTAAAGGTGTGATGTTGTATTGCATCTGCTTGCAATACTTTCTGGTTTTTTCCCCCTTTTGTGCCCCCACATCTGAGTGTGCTTTTTATCCATCTGTTAATCTGACTGCAGATGGTCTCAGCCTTCCCCCTTCTGAGGAATTCTAGCCTATTTGCAAAAAAAACTAACCCAACCCAACAGTAACACAAAGCAATGTTTGTTGGTCAGCTTTTTTCAGGTAGGTATCAGATTCTCTTTCCAATAAACTTATGAGCTACTCTGTAAAGAGTGGTTTGGAAAATAGTGTTTTAAAAACACTTCAGTTGGATGTTTTAGCAAATGGTGTATAAGAACAATAGTAACGGAGCATCCTTGAGCATTTTGTTGAAAATAAACGTTGGTAAAAATTAGTGATGTCTGTCATTTACTGACCTTCCAAATGTATCTTGTATTTGTATCTAAAATCTATGAAAAATCACAGGATAATCAAATGTACTATAAACAGATTTACTAGTTACTTAGGTTAACTCTTAAAAAATGTGTTTACATGGAAAAAAGGGGGGTTTTTACCTTCTTTTTTTTGGGGGGGGCACCTGCACATGAACACTCTACTTTCTATCATGTAGAAAGACGTCTAGAGTGTGCTTGAATGAGTATCCTTACTTAAGAATAAACAATAAAACCTAAAGTAAGTCTATGCATTTAAAGGAAATATATTTATAGTAAAATCATACTTTAAATAAAAGAAAAATGTATTCTGTGTTTACTCTGTGTGAACGCATATTAATTTGTTGATTTCTAAGATAAGTGTTAACAAAAATTTTTC